GGACCAGATACTCTCCCACTGTCACCTCCTGGCAATTTGGCCAGCCATTCCTGGCTCAGGACTTTGATCTGACAGTTGGTGAAGCAGGGAGGAAGGTCCATTAGAATATATCTGTGCTCATGTCACACAGCAGTGTCACATCTGGAGGTGTGCTGTGGAGACATTAAGAGACCATGCCAGTAGAGGCATCGGGACCAGCTGTTCCTACCGTATGACCTTGGCTGTGAGTTCAGGTGCCCACTCACTTGATTCTCCAGCTTTCTCATCCGTTCTGAGATGCCCAGTGGGAATGCTAATAATTTTTTTTTTCTGTTTTGCTTCGTCTGAGTCAATTTCTGTTGCTTGCCACCACAAAGGTTGGTTCGTAAATCTTTCAACAGGAAAATAAATCTCAGGCACTGGCTTTAATTACCAGCCAAAGTTTTAATGCAGACAAGTCCTGATGTGCTAGAAGTGTTGTGCTTACTGCTGGCCCTTTGGACAAAGAACAGGCTGATCCTAGATCTGTGCCTCACTGCTCAGCCCAGAGCCTGCTTGGAGAGAGGAGTCACTCAGCTGCTGAAGGAAAGAATGACGGAAAGGAGGGATTGCTACATGCCCATTTCCTATAGGCAGCTTGTGAGTGGTTCACTTGAATGCCCAAGGCTCCTTGGACCTCCACCTGGTGTATCCTGTGACTTAAGCAGCCTGAAAATTTGCAGCTCATTTTCTTTCCCTCCCGACCTGGGTCTCCCATAGAATGGCATGGCCAGAGGTAAAAACCCTGGCTGTGCCCTTCAGTCCACCTCCTAAACATTTCTTAATCCATACCTTGCCTCCATCCCCAGAATATTGTCTTAGCCCATCACTGCTTCTCACCTATCTGAATTTGCTTATGGGGACCTCACTTACCATAGGACTGGTCTTCAGGATGCCAGTTAGGCATCAGGAGCAGGCCCCCAGGGACTGGCTCAATTTTGACCAGTAAGACTGCTTGCCTGGGTATCCTAGGCAAAGGGCTGCAGGCAGGCCCAGCCCACAAGTGGAACTCCAGCGGTATCAGCCAGGCCTGCATCCCACCTGGCATACTGTCAGTGCTCAGGAAGCGTGGATTGATCAGAGACTCTTGGGATTAGTGCTTCTGTCCTTTCTTGGCATGCCATCAGAAGCGAGACCTGGACCTGGCTACCTCTCTGGCCTCATCTCCCCCATTCCTGACTTTTGCTGTAGGCTCCATCCACATCAACTAGTTTCCTGAATGTATGCCAAGCTGTCTCACTGCCATGCCTTTGTACATGCTGTTCCCTCTACCCAAGGCCCTCCCTCAACCAGGTCGGCCTGAAGAACTCCCACTAATCCATCCTTCTTTTAAGGCTCACTGAGTGCAAGTATTGCCTCCTCTGGGGAGCTTTCTGGAACTGGCCCTGGGAGGCCTCCCTCACTGTGCCCCCTCTTCCCCTGCCACTGCAGTTCTCTGTTACACTGCTTGGCACAGAGTGTTGCAGATGTGTGTCTTCCTCAGAAGGCAACACTTCTGAGGGAACTGGACTTTGTTTCTCTCTATACCTTCAGTACCTAGCCAGGATCCTGCACAGAGAGAAAACCAGGATGTGTTTGTTTCCTCTCTACCCACCCCCACCCTCCGGAGGCAAGACATGTGGTGGGAGAGGTTACAGGACCTTAAATGCCAGCTAAGGAGAAAGGTTTGGTCAGATTTTCATTGTTGAATGATCCTAGTGGCTGGGACCCCTTTTTATTTGGGGTAAGAAGAGTAATTTTTCAATTTGGCCCTCTCTCAGCCCAGAAAATAAGGGGTTAGTTCTCAGCAGGAACATGAAAGATGGGCCTGTGCCTGGGGTCATCACTCCCCCTTTCCCTGGACCCCCTTGCCCTTTCTGCATTCACTTTTAATTCTTGAAGTCTCTCCCCAAAGTCCTGGGGTCTAGGACCCACTCCCACTACTCAAGGGCCAAGTCCAAACCTCAATCCCCTGTTATGTAAGTGAATTATCCTCTGTTCCCAACCAGCGCCAGCCAGATCTCCTCCTCCTAATTGATTTAATCTTCTCATACCAGAGAGTTGGGCGGGGTTGGGGAGACAGCATTGATCAGAAGCCAACACGTCAGTGACGTAGGCTCATTAATTACAGGGAATCTAGGTCATGGATTGGCTCTCTGTGGCTCTGATTCTGCCCCTCCCAGTCATTTGGATCTCTGAAAGGACATTTTCACCTCCCCCTCATTTCTCAAACTCCAGTCCTACAAGGAGAGAAAGTTGAGGGTCCCATAAACCCTACTTTTCTTTCAAATCTCCCCAAACCCTCAGCTCTGGACAGTTATTCCCTGCATTCCAATCTGAACACAGGGCATAGCTAAACATAATTTGAGACATGAACAGATGGTATAATTTGGGGTGGGAAGAGACCTTCACATTGTCTTTATTTACTTTCAATACCAAGCAAATCTTTACTTTGCAGCTTCTCTGATAGAGAATGTCCAGATCTTGTGTACCCCCAGAGATGGGGGGCTCACTCTCTTTAAATAGTCCTTCCCTTGTATGATGGCCTTTCTCACATGGGGCTGAGACATCAGCCTTGTGACTTCTGGGACCCAGCCTTGCCCCTGGGGCTGCAGGACGTGTCCCAGAAGAGGCAGCCAGATCCTGAGACATGGTGATTGCTCTTCTTCAGGCTGAACATTCCTGGCTCTTTCACCAGTTGTGTGGTAGATTTTACATATTACTTCCCACTGTATCTCTTCTGTGGACAAGCCATGGAGATCGTCGTCTCCCCAGATGCACAGGACAGAACAAAGACTCCAGGACAGTGTGAACATGTCAGGGCAGGAGTGTCAACATTTCTGATCTTGATATTAGAGTTCCACTGGCATAGCCTGAAATTGCCTGAGGTTTTTTGAGGCTTTATAGCACACTTTTGACTCAGCTTACACACAGAGTCAGCAAATCCCCATCATCTTTTTTTTTCTGACATTAGCAATGGAAAGTCTCCATAAAAATCATCTTTGTGATATTAGGAACATCCCCATGTTTCTTCCCCATAATTCTTTTCATCCACCCTGACATTTCTCATACAATCATGCAATACCCATCTACCCTTTCACCCACACTACTATCAAACTATATATTCATCGTATATTCACCAGCCTCACTCTCTGCCTACATACTGTTCTACTCAGCTGCCCATAGATTCATTCATGCACTCATTCACCTGTCCATCCACCTACCTACCAACCAGCCCATTTAGCCATTTATACATTCCTATCCACCTATCTGATCATGTACTTAACTGTTCATCCATCCATTCACCCACCATCTACCCGTATAAACCACCTATCCATCCGCACATCCATCTCTTCATTTACTCCATCTCCCAGTCACCCATACATCTATATTCATCGTCCATCTGTCAATCCATCCAGTACTTACTGGGATTCTATTACATTTCAAATCTGTGTTGAGTATTCTGAGTCATTCAAAACTGAGTATAATACAGGCACTCACTCTTTGGGAGCAGTTAAAGCAGATGATGCTGAGTGCTGTAAAACGGGAACAATGAAAATGCTTTGGGGATTCAGAGGAGGGAGAAGTGGTATCTGGATAAGGTTATGGATATCTTCCCACGAGGGTAAACTTTCAGTCTGGGCCTTAGTAGAACAACAGTATGTGGACATACACAAATGCATTGGAAGTAATTCTAAGTAAAAGAAGTAGCATATCAAAGATACAGAGAACAGAATTTATGTCTTACTCTTTATACCCCCACTAAAGTACCATATACAGAAGTGGGCACACTTTAGTAACCTAATACATATGTGGTGATTAATATTGTCCCTTCTCTGACAGAGATGCCCCCAAATACTTAATCAGGATAAGAGTTTAGTCTTTCTCTTTAAGAAGATTCTACAGTTGCCTTGCTGGATGGCCTTGGAGAAGTAAAAAAAAAAAGCCTCTCTGTGATTCTCTGAGTTTGGGGTTGAATTTCTGTCTCTATCAGGTGGTCCTTTTCCCCTAATTTTAATTACTTCTACTATGTTCTCTGCTCTCTTCAGAGACATGAGCATTTCCACATCTTAAATTTTATTTTATTTTGTTGGCACTAATAATCTCAATCCCACCTGTCTTCAGCTTCCTTGGCCACATCCCCAGGCAAGAAATTCTGTAATATGGAGGAAGGGAGAAGTTCTGTGCAAAGGAAATAGCTCTGAAGTAGAGCCAGGAGTGATAAATACAAAACCAGCTTTGCCACAATCTTGCTATGTGACCTTAGGCAAGTCTCTTTCCTTCTGTTTTAACCCTTCCCATCTAAGCACTGAACAGAGCATTTGAGATCCTCTTGTCCAATATCCTCATCTTATATATGGAAAGACAGGTTCATAAAGGGCATATGACTTGTTCTAGATCATATCTGGATTAGTGGCAAAGCCAGAAGAAACTTCAGATTTCCTGACTTTCGGTTTAAGATTTTCTTTACCCAACCACCATTTTTCAGCCTCCAGTCACAGCCCCTGTATATCTCAGGATGAGCTTCCTCTCCCACTTCCATTCCCCAGGAAGGACTGTGTATCTTCCAAATGTTTTGACTGTGTATTACTGACGCATGCCTGGGTGGGGGTTGGGCAGGCACTATTTAAGAGCAAGTATTCCCAGCCTGACGGAGTTAATTATGTTCATCAGGAAGAGAGAAGAGAAAGGAACAATGCGCTCTGGTTATCTACTAGGCTTTAATCAAATTGAGAAACGAGGAAATCCATCACCCAGAGGCTAAGGGAGTTCGAGAGCTTGGCTTCCGCTGGCTCCGAGAACTGTAATGGGTTGGGTGCTGTCCAACGTGCTGACATCTTCACTTGCTGCTCTGAGTTGCTGGGAGAGGCAGAGGGACGGCAGCTTTTAGAAGATGGCCCAGGTCAGAGTAAGAAGAGGTCTGGACGTGTTGGGGAGAGGCTTGAATTCTTATTCTATCTTCTGAATCTTCCCCTTTCCTTTTATTTGTTTATCTTCTTTAGGGAAAATATCCCTTATGGCCAGAGTCCTCAGCTGGGATTGAAGAAATAGGAAGAGAGAGAAGAGCCCTAGACCCTTTGCTGTCAGAGAGATGGACCCCAGATGAAGGTGCTAGCCCTTTCTTGACCTTGGGGACTTCCCCATATTGAAAGGAGATGTGAGTTCTGCTTTTATAAAATCCTAAGTCCAATGATAGTTATGAACTGCCTTTGAGAATTTGTTAATCTAGTGGAAGAACATCACTGTATCTTTAACTTAAGTATGATATAAGGGAGGCATGGCCCATGTCTACATGGAGCTTCTAGTCTGATGAGGAATATCTGGTCTTCCTCTGGGAGAATATCAGTCTGGCTGAGGAGACATGCTCTTGATTTAGGGGGAAACTTCAGTTATAATCAGGGAAACAGGATGGACAGAGAAGTTAGAATGTGCACAGTAACCAACCAAAGAACTCAGATCTTCACATTTGTGATTGAGGTTACCGGTGCCAGATATTTTGTGTGAATAATGGAAAATTTTCTGGTAGAGGTGAGCTTGAAGTGAGCTTAAAGGAAAGCAAGAGACTTGGGTCCCTAAATCTTAGGCTTTCTGAGAGTCATGGCCATGCTTTCTCATTCCCTTATATCCCCTTTAAAGTAAGCACAAGTCTGGACACAGAGCAGATCCTTGTTCAATGAATAATTGCCAACAGATAGAGAGTGAAGGTACCTCCTCCGTGTTTGGGGAGATAGCAGAGTGAGGATGGTATAGAGATCAGAGGAGGGTTGGTTGGAGTGAAGAGCCTGAGGCTAGGGTGGAGAGATAGCCTTGGGGAGGTAAGATGGACAGAGGGAGTGACCCAATGTATGTCTAGGTCGCTGAAGTACAGCATTTGAAACAATTCCTTCATATTTCTGGAGCTGCTGAGAGACACTTTATTAAATCTTGGATTGTTAAAGCTGGAGACTGTTAAGGTACAAAATCATAGACTGCTCAACATCTAGACCCACACAACCATGGATAGTTGGAATATTAAAACCATACCAGTTTAGCAGGGCAGAACACAGTGTGTTGAAGTTATAGAACTGTAGAATACTAGAGCCAAAGAGCCAAAAGTCCACATTAGAGAATCTTAAGATCTAAGAATCTCAGTGCCAAAAGGGAAAAGAAATCCCAGTTTATTGACTCCCACTATTGTATCAGTTGTGGTGCTGAGAGTATTCTAGTATATTTTCCCATTTAATTTCTACCATAAGGTTTAAGCCATTTATTTATTCCCATACCTACTCAACAGAGTGTTTCTGTCAAAGGTTTATCAAGCATATGCTTGCATAAGTTTCATGACAGGGGAGTCATTATCTCTGTGCATACCTCTACTCCCTGCTGAATGGCAGATAGAAAGTTCTTTCTTATGTAAGCTGCACTCTCTCCCTGTAGTGTCCCCACACTGGTCCAGTTCATGTCCTCTGAGCTACACTGAGAAAGTCTAATCTCCGACTCACATGACAGCTTTTCAGATGGCTAAAGACAGTCTTTATTTCTTTCTTCTCTAGGATAAGCTGGTTTGTTCATCATGTAGCTAGAAATGGGACAGCAAATCAAAGAATATTTGAGCTGGAAAGGCCCTTAGAGGTCGTTTTGTCCAGAGACTTCCTTTTACTGCTGGGCGGTACAGCATTATGGTCAGGAGCCTAGGCTTTAGAGAGAGATGAGCCTGAATTCAGAATCCTGAGATCCAGCACTAATTTGGTGTGTAACCTTGGGCAAATTACCTAATGTGTCTGGGCCTCAGTCTCCTTATCCATAAAATACAGAGAATAATAATATTGACACACTATAGTTGATGTGAGCATTGAATGAGATAATGCAAGGGAAGCTCTTAGCAGAGTGCTTGGCACACAGTAACAGTCAATAAATATTAGCTATAATTATTGGAGGTCCAGAGGGGCAGGGACTTGCTCAAGATCACAGGGCAACTCAGAGGCAGAGCTGGGGTTAGACCAAGGACTCATGCCTCCAATGCCAAGTCACTTTCCTGTTCACATTTCCACTCTGTCTTCCTTGGGAAAAGGAAATAAGCCCAGGAGGGACTGGAATACTTTGCTCACCTGATCAGTTAGAATGCAAGTAAGAGAATACCTGACTTAGAGGCTTAAACCTTTTGTTTCCTTAACTAGGAGAGGGGAGGAAGGTAGTTCCAGGTTTGTCTGGTGACTCAACCATGTTTAATGACCTGGGCTTTTCTAATTCTAAGCTCTGAAAGGGACTCCTCTTGTGATCACAAAATGACTGATGCGGCACCAAGCACCATGTCCTCCCAAGCAGGAAGAAAGGGCATGGGAGCACAAAGGGTCTTCTTCTCTCATGCCTGTGTTGTCCAGGAGGGGATCTTTGCAAGCAGACCATCCCCTTACATCTCTTGGACCAAAATGAGGTCATATGTCCACTCCTAAACTACTTACTGGTGCAGAGGAACGCATTTCCATGAATGGTTTGGATGATCCCTGTGTCTAGGTACTTTGCTGCTAGAATAAGGAAGAGGGAATTGGCTGTAGGAAGGCAACCAATAGTGCCTGACATACTTAACTCTGTCTCCTCTCTGGATTGGCCTCTCCTGTCCTTTTCATCTCTGCCAGGAAGCCTGCCCTGGTTTCCACCCTTGTCCAGCAAACCCTTTGCTACCATGTAATTGAACATCACCCAATTCAAGTCTACGTTGAGAAGCTCTCTCATCTTTTTATGTTCAAATCTTGTTGTCCCACACAGTCTGTGAGCATTGGGAAAATAATGTCAGCTACTGATGAATAATTGTGTGCCAGACACCCCTCTGGCCACTTGTAACCAGCTTCCAATGGCTGGTTCCAATGCTCCGTATCTCCTGGTGTTCACAACCTTTTGTGTTCCCCTCCCACATTGTACCAGGGTTAAGCTGTTGACCGATAGAAAATGCAAAAGCTATAGTATATCACTTCCAAGATTGTATTCTAAAAGACACCATGCCTTCCATCTTGGTAGCACACATTCTCTTGGATCATTCATTCCAGGGGAAGTTAGCCACCACAGCAAGAGTACCCTTATGGAGAGGCTCGCATAAAAAACTAAACCCTTTGACCAACTGCCAGCAAAAAATGGAGGCCTGACTACAACCACAGAGTGAGCCTGGAAGTGGATCCCTGTTAAGCCTTCTGATGACTGCAGCCCTGTCTGACACTTGACTGCAACCTCATGAGAGATCCTGAGCCACAACCTCCCAGTCAGTCCACTTCTGGATTCTCAATCCACAGAAATTGTGTGAGATAATAAATATGTGTTATTTTAAGCTGTTATATTTAAGTTTTGGGGTAGTTTGTTACTTGGTAGTAGTTAACTACTGTAGTGCTATATTGTCACGTTACATCCTCACAACAACCCTGAAAGGTAGAGTTTGTGTCTTCCATTGTGTGTGTGTGTGTGTGTGTGTGTGTGTGTGTGTGTTTGAGAGAGAGGGAGAGAGAGAGTGCACACATGCACACACAGAGGGAGAGTGAGAGAGAGTCTCAAGCAGGTTCCGTACCCAGCACAGAGCCCAATGCGGGCTCCATTGCACAACTGCAAGATCATGACCTGAGCCAAGATCAAGAGCTGGACACTTAACCGACTGAGTCACCCAGGTGCCCTATTCTTTCCATTTTTAAGATGAGAAAACCAACGCTGAATGCAGTGACTTAACCTGGAAAGTGGCACAGCTGGGATTTGCCCTCATGATTATTGGGTTCCAGAGCAGAGGGGAACCTGGTTCTGTTTTCTCAGCTGCAATGTCTGCAGGGTGAAGGTTGAGGAATGGAATAGGAGGAGGAGGTCTCTTTCTCTGATGTGTTTCCTCTCATTTTTTAATTTCATCCTCTAGTGTGTATATGTGATTCTGGGGCAAGAAGTTTTATTAGAAAAAACAGTGGAGTTTTGAGAGGCTCTTGAGGAACCTTGGACAAATTTTTGTGCTGTTCTAGGCCTTAGTTTCTTTGTCCGCTACATGGGGAATATAACCGTGGCCCCAGATGCCTCACCAGGAAACTGCGAAGATGAAGTGTGAAAGGATTTTGTAAAATGTGAAGTGTTGTGAGTATGGAAAGTTCTGCCTTGAGTACGGAGCACCCCTGACCCAGGGCCCTCCCAGTCCCACACAGCTACCACAGCACAGGTGGCCAGTGCCCCCACCTCTTCTCTCCCACCTGAGTTTAGCCTCAGGAGACAGAATATTGAGAGAAGTTTAAGGCCCTGACTCACTTATTTAGCCTCATCCCTCACCATGACCCCTCTCTTGGGCCACACTGCAGCCACGCTGAACTAGTGGAAATTCCCCAAGCCTGTCAGGAGCTTTCTGTTTGCTGAGACTTTATCCTTGCCGTTTCTCCTCCCTGGACACTGTTCCCAACTTCTCCACCTGGTGTGTTCCTACTCATCTTTCAAGACTCAGCTTAGATGTCCCCACTTCTAGGATGCCTCTCTTGACCTGGTTCAGGGCCTCCTACTTCTCCCCTTGATTAGCGCACCAGCCTCCTGCCTGAGCTCTTGGCCTACAGCTTCCCTTTTCCACTCAAAGCCCCCATGGTGCAGCCAGCAGCCTTTCTAAAACACAAATCTTGTCATGTCACTCCCTGCTTAAAATAACCAGTCAATGGAATAATCCATCAATCAATGCTTCAAGGGCTTCTCCTTGCCCTCAGGAAGATATCCAAAGCCTTCTGCTAGAACTCAAGGCTTAGTCCCCAGTGGTGTCTCCAGCGTCAGTTCTCTTATCTCTCCTGATCGCCCTGCCTGACACAGTACACCCCTGCCACATTGCTCCTGTATCCTGTCTCCGACGCACCTTGCTCTCTCATGTCTCCCTATCTCCGCACATCCCGTTGTTTCTCATGCCCATTCCCCTCATCTCCACCTGGGGACTTCCTGCCTAATCTTCTAAGCCAGCTTGGATCTAACCTGTTCTGGAAGCCTTTCCTGAATGCCCCAGCAAGAGTTTGTAGCTTCCTTTTCTTTATTCCCTATGTGACTACTCATGCTTTTGCCACTGTGTGTGTCAGCTTGTCTGCTTACACTAGGAGCTTGCTGTATCCGACACATGACTGTGTCCCCAGCAGTGCCAGCACAGGGGCATAGAGCAGCCATATTGGATTTGTTGGTTGGGTGGGTGGTGGAACGAACAAATGAATGAATGGTGAATGAATCCATCTTTGAACCATCACTTCTTGGTCAGCCCCAGAACTGCTGTTTCCCACAGTAAGCCCATTTTATAGCAAAAGGGGAAGCAGGGGAAGGGACTGCTCTAGAAAGGAGAAAGAAAGTCAATAAAAATGTAAATCTAGTTGAGAAAAGCTGTCCTAGGCTGGCTGTGGGGAGAGATAAGGCTGGGCAGGCTGAGCCCTGGCTGACAGTGGAAGAGAGATTAGGGGACAAGCAGAGCTGCAGCCAGGGCAGTGTGTCTCCCTCTGTGCTGCCTCCTCCGTCTTCACCCCCACCCTGCCCCCATGTTCTGTGTGTTCCTTAAATTCTTCCAGGGACAGGGGAAGAAGACGTACAATTGGTCATCGGGTGCACTGCCCGTATGTTATTATTTGGTCTTCACAACTTTTGGGAGACAGGAGAGAGGAAGGATCAGCTTCACCTTACAAGTGAAGAAACAGATGCAGAGAAGTTAACTCACTTGTTTGGGGTCACACTGTGAATAAGTGGCCGTCCCGATTTGAACACAAATCTCATGGACCCTAAAACTCTGTTGTTTTCACTCCACTCCGCCAGAGGTCTATAGCCAGACTTCAGATGGTTCCCAACCTCGGAAATCAGATGCACAAGGGTTTATATGACTGTGTGCAGTTTTTATGGAGATACGTCTTTTTATCATATTCTCTAAGGTGGTTGTCATCCACCCTCCATTATCTATACCAGGCAGTCTCCCTAGAGGTGGTGGCCTTTGAGTTGAGTCTGGAAGATTGGGTAGGACTTCAGAGGGTGGGATGGAGAGCCAAACAGTGGGGCGGAGATGAAGAAGGCTTGGTAGGTAGCGGGAAGTGCACATGTTGGCGCATGTTAGGGGGAAAGGAGTCAACATGGCCAAAGAATGGCGAAGGTGCTGTGGCCTCTTGCTCTTCATTTATTGCACTCCAGTCACAGCTCCTGGCTCCCAGCTCCAGGCCACAGGGCCTCTGGGAATGGCATCGAGATGCTCGTTCTGGTCCCAGGAGAAACTGCCAGATTTTACCATCGGTCAACACTAGCATGGAGACTGAATGCTTTCTCCCAGCTTCCAGAGGCAAGATGAGAAGAAAGTAAGCTCACAGATGCAATTGTTTGTGGCTCCTCATTGGCCAGAAGCCATAAGAGCATGGCTCCCTGGAATCTATCAGTCCCTGGGAACCCCTCCAGCCCTGACCTGTTCTACCCCTGGCTCTCAGCCCCATGTCTCTCTTGCGATGACCCCTGGGGCCTCCTCACCCTGACCAGCCTGGGAGATTTTAAACACAAGGACCTCATTTTCTCCTTCAAAGCTCAGTGTGACCCAGAGGCAGAGTCAGCATGAAGCTAATGCTGCTTGAGTATTTGGGTCTCTCCCCAGGCCCGGGAAGGGGCCTCTGCAATGTGTTCAGGTCACCATATCCTTGGGAAATTTGCAAAAGTAAGATGCTTTAACCACAAGCAGTTAAGATTGCTAGCTCTTTCTACTCCTACTACTTGTGTCCCAGTTTTGCTTTATGTGAGGTGGTTGGAGGGGCCATGGGGATTTCTGGGATCTGGCTAAGGGGCAGTTGAATTGGGGACCAACTTAATTTGGGTTCACTGGGATATATTTATGTGATTCTCAGTCACCTCTGTATATAGGTAAATCATTGCTAGCTACCTCTGTGTAGAGAATGGCATCTAGGAATCTTCCTACTCACTGTCTGACTCACTCAGCATTGTGACATCAAGGTGTCACATCCAGAGGTCATCCCATGACGTGAATGTGTTTTATGCTGCATGGCCCTGGAAGTACATGGGCACCAAAGGAGAAACAGGTTTGCAATGACAGAACCCAGAAGCAAGACTGCAGAAAATCCTTCCAATTGTCAAGGGGAAAAATGTATTTTAGAGGTGTGCATAAGAGTTAGTAAAAAATGTGCTATTTTCCTGAATTGTGTGATGTATTTTTTTTAATTTCTTTTCTCATTATAGGTAAATATTTGCTTTCTTACCAATTTTGTGTTCTTTTTCTTTTAAAGAGGGCTCCCCAAGGTTTATAAGCTTCAATTCCCACAAAACCCTGGCTTCATCACTTATGTTTTGTCTGATCTTGGGCAAGTAGTTGCTTATATTTTCTGAACTGTTTCCTCTTCTGTAAAATGTGAATGACGATTTGGACAGGTGAAGACTCAGAAACTTCATGACCTGATTCCATTTCTGAAACCATTACTAGAGGAAGTAACCCAGTCAAATGAAAATTAGACCAGAATATACAGACAGGAAAAGATGTCATATATAAGAAATAATAGTGAATAATGAATCCAGTAAGACTTAAATCCAAATAGCTGGAAGAAATGTGGTTGTTTTTGCAAACTCTAATGCAGTTTGTAAGAAAGGAATTTTGTAATATAAGAGACATTATGCAAGAACAAATCTAATAATAAGCTGTATCTATAACTCCAAATTATTTCTGCAAAACCTGGAAAAAGGAATATAAACATATGAACAGCCTCCTCTATTGGAGAAGACTTTGAAATTCTTGGGCCTGGTAAATACAGGCTCAGATATATGTTAAACATTTAAAGAGATCAACCAATAGAATCAAAACAGGAGTTAGAACTTCTGTACCTTTCTCTTCTTTCACGTGGGAGAGCCTCAAAGCCCTGCCCCAGGGAGCTGATCAGAGGCCCAGAGCTGCATGGCCCTCCTGCCCCCTCCTGCCCCCAGCTTCTCCCCTGCCTCCAGCACAGGGCTTGGCAAGCTGCTGCTGACAGATCTGTCTCTTGCCTCCCAAGCAGCAGGTCCCAGCCAGATCAGGTGTGTGGAGGCAACAGAATGGGCTGGAGTAGGTCCGGAAACTCTCTCTCCCTCTCAGGGAGATAACCAGGCCAGATAAGATGGGCCATAAAACAAGACGAGGCCACTGAAGATAAGGACCGGTGATTCAGAGCAAGCGGTCAACAGACCCACTCACTTCAAAGAGCCCGACATTAACAACTCCCAGCATTACAGGTCAGGGCCTTACAAAGAGCAAGCCCTTACACCATCTTGGGCATCACAGAGAACCAGCTGTTACCCCCAAAACCTGCTTATCACAGAACCAGACATCTACATAGCCCCAGGCCACACAAGGAAATGGTGAAATTAGGCTCTAGTCACAAAAGTAACAGTGACTTTGGTGGGCCCTGGTCGGAGGTGTGAAATCTTGGTAATGCAAAAGTACCAGTGAATGTGTGCACAGTGTGTTTGGTCTTTGAAGTCAGAAAATGCCCAAGTGTGGGACCTGGGTCTCCCTCCCCACTGGAACCTCTAAGGCAGAGACTAGGCCTCACCCAGATTGTGACTCCCTGAGGGCAAGGACTGGGACTTCCTGAGTCCAGAGAGTGAGACTCCCCCTCAGCTAAGCCCCCCAGGGCCCCTCACACCAGGGTTGCTGAAAGCCAGGACCAACCAGGATGTTCTGTGAGGCCAGCTCCCTCCCTAGTAGGTCCCCCTCAGAGCTCATCACTCCGCCTCCAGGGGGCGCCAAATAGACACTTCTTGACAGAGGCAGTCCTGGCCCCACCTCCAGGCTGAGTGGGGCTGGGGAGGAGACCTGAGTCCATCCTGACCACACAGATGGTTATAGCTGAAAGGGGCCTGAAAGCTGTCAAGTCCATTTCCACCTGACAGAGACGGTGGCTGAGGCCCAGAGAGGGTGCTCCAGGTGAGCGGCAAAGCTGGGCTAGACCAGGTGTGCAGGGCAGCCTGGCCTACTGTTGTCTACTTCTCTCTCCTAGGGCCTGAGAAACCCTGGGTTCAGGTCAGCCTGTCAGGCTCAGGGAGGAAAGGGGAAGACCATCTTGCATTAGGAGTGGCCAACACACCAACCCCCTAGGCAACTCTTTGGTTCAGATTAGTCACAAAGGCCCAGAGAGAGCCAAACTTGCCCAAGTCACATAGCAAGTTAGCAGAGGAGTCAGAATTGGAAAACGGGGTTCCTGACACCCACTATTGGGCAAAGAGCCCAGAGGAGGTACCCCCAGTGGCTGCCACTCTAGGACCAGCTCACGCTCTATATTCCTCAGGCTTCTTTTCTGGCCCTGACACTAACGGCTGCTGCTGCTGTAGGCCAGGGATGGGTACGGTGACCTGGGTCCTCTCCTCTTTCTCCTGCTGCCTTAGGATGGCCAAAATCAAGGCGAAGCAGGCCAGGGAGCCTGTCTTGAAGAAGACCTGGAGGCCGACAAACCTGGAAAAGAGCAAGGGACCTGTGAACTCAGGACCTCCCTTGTCCCAGGGCTTGGATGGCCTTGGGCTGGGGCACAGTGGGGTCAGCAATCGTCACCCATTGTGTTATCAGAGACATTGAGACCTTGGGGGTGGAAAAGAGGCCTCCAGCCCCAGGGCAGTGGACCTCATCACCATGGCCTTGGTTGGGGAGATTGGGGAGTCCCTGGAGTTGACCCCGGTGGGGGTCCTTCCCTGGAAGAGGGAGAGAGGCTGTGCAGAAGGAGTGCTGGGCAGGGAGACAGAAGCCTGGGCATCTTCCCTGCCCTGTCCCCAGCTGGCTTATAGCCTGGGCCAGCCCTGACTCTCTCTGTCTAGGGGCTCAGGGGACCTGACAGTTGCAATCACCCCACCTGCCACAAGAGGATTCCCTCTCCACTGTCTGCCCAACTCACGAAAGCTCTTATTTGATCTTTCTTCCTACAGAAAGGGCACTGGTCAGTCCCAGCCCTCGGGAGCCATGCCCTCCGCAGAGCTGGGAGTGACCAACTCTCTGCTCCCAGCCCTGTTAGCAAGTCCCCTTCAACACCCTATCCCATCCCAGCAGCCTCTCTGCCTTCAGATTCCTTTGGGCTCCCCATTGCACAGAAAGGAAGACTGAGATCCAGAAAAGACAGGTCTCCCAATGAGAGACACAGAGCTGGGCTGGATCCCAGGCCTCCTGCATCCTGGTTAGGCCTTCTCCCAACCCCACCTCAACTCCCCATCTTTCTCACAGCTGGGCTTTTCCCCTGATTCTCCCCACGGTCAGCCATGATGACATGTTTCTGCACAGACCATAGTTAGACCATTTGGGTTCGAGGCTCAGCTTTGCCTATTATCAACTGTGTGGCTTTGGGCTGCTTTAATGGTCACTTTCCTCATCCAGAAGAGTGGGGGACAGTGGCTAGGTCCCAGGACTGGTGAGCTCAGTACCAGATACAGCACCTGCTGCCTAGCAGGGGGATATAAATGGGCCTCCCTGCTGCTGTCCTTCCTGAAACCCCAGGAGTATTTCCAGCAGCCTTCCCACAGGGCCCCTGGCAGCCCCCACCCCAGGTCTCACCGGTTTCGGAGAAGGTCGTGGTCATAGTAGCGACAAACGGCCCGGCGCCCACAACTCTGGGCCCAGTACACACAGGTGGTGTCGATGGCGCTGCCGTGGATCACTGGGCTGGGCATCCAGGCTGGAGAGGAGATGCTCAGCGGACAACAGGGCCTGGCATCCTGCATTACCCAGCCCCCTACTCCCTGGCATGTGCAACCCCCCAGAGCCACCCAGGCCTCTTGTCCCATAAGTCTTTGTCCCTCAAGCCCACCCCTCACCCTGGTGTGCGATGCTGCCCCCTGGGGGGCTCTCTAGCTGCTTGCATACCCACCTCCAGGGCCCAGATCCAGTTGTTTGCCTGATGGGCCTAAGGTCAGGAACTGGGTCCCACTCATCCCTGTGCCCCCAGGCCCAGCACACAGTGGGTGTCTGAACTAAAGGTCCCAGGGAGGTTCTTTACCTAAAACTCTCAGGAGCATGAACTGGATCCCCACAGCCAGCGTCTTGTCTTCTTTCTTCACTCCCCTAATAAGCAGAAATATGGTGACGTGAGGATTGAGAAGTCCTCAGCTCCCAAGGGTCTCTCAGCATCCCCTGCTCTCTCGCCACCCAGGGCCAGCCTTCAGTCTGAAGGTCCATGGGTTTGGGCTTGGGGTGGGCTCAGCCTCCACACTCCATTTTCCTTCAATCTGTGGAGCCCGGCCCCCACATTCCAGGCACCTCCATGGCCATCAGTGTCCTGTGTTGGCTTCCCTGTGTTGTTGGTCACAGACACCTCCCCTCTCTCCCTACCCCTGGGTCCGCCAAATTCCCTGCTCCTCCTCCACTTGGAAAAACCTGAAGCTAGGCAGCCAGACATGGCTTCCAACTTCCCCAACTGCTGTGAAGCCCCAGCCTAGTTTGCCTGGGGAAATCCTAGCTCCTCCTCCGGAGTGATACTAGCTGCTGGCGTTTAGGGAGTGCTTACTATGAGCTCAGTCATTCTGTAGTACAACTCTTGCATCACCCCCATGAAGTAGTTTATACCATTAGCCCCATTTTACAGATAAGGAGACTGATGAACTTTTAGACAGGTTAAGTGATTTGGCCAAGATCCCACAGCTGGTGGGTGTCAAGAGTCAGCATCCATGAGCACACTGCCTGCAGCAACTCCTCTTAAATGGGCTGCCTGCCAGGGCATCTGATTCCTCTACCTTCTCTCTTTGAGCCAGTCTGTTTTATAGATCTACACGTCTTCTTGTGTTTATGAGGGTCTCCATCCCCCTTCTATTTTTCTAGAAAACAGATAGGGAACAAAAATAATCCCAACATAATAAAAACTTTGAATTATCCTGTATTGAGGTCCTCATATTGCAGCCCCCACCCTAGGAATGTTGACTTTGGCCTCAGGTAACAATTTGTCATCCCAGCAGGCACCCTCAGGACATCGGCCAGAAAGATCTTGGACTGAGAGGCCTTGCTCTGCAGTAGACATACAAGCGCTTATTGATTTGAAGACTCATGAACCACAACAGTAGGGCTTGGTTTTCTGGATGTAGCTCCTGTGGCTCACCCACTAGGTAGGGTGGGGACAGTCAGGTGACACTCTACTTTCTCCTCACTGTGACTGGGAGGCCAGCGCAGGGCCTTAGGTGTGCCTGAGCCCAGGCAAGTGAGGACCTGGGCTCTGGGCGCTGGCACCAGCACCTATTCTACCCAATACCTGTGACAAGACCTGGGAATAACTTCTGACCTTCTCTGAGCCTCAGTTTTCTTATCTGTAAATGGGGAGGAAACTTCACTTTAACAGGTGGCCATGAGGACGAAGGCAGGGCAGTGAGAGTCTGGTCTGCTGCAGGGGCCCAGCACACTCGAGTGGCCTCCTTCTTGGAACCCCGCCCTCAGGATTCCTTATGCTGCCTGGGGTTAAGGACCTCCTGGTATCCACCAGGGGTGGCCCACCCCTGTTCTCACCTTAGGATGAGCATGAAGGAGGGTGTGTGGGTGAGACTGGCCAGTCCTGCACCCAGGCTGACCAGGAACATGAAGGGCAGCACCAGGTGGCTGCAGGCGGAGTCACAGGAGCCCGCGGGCACTGGGCCTCCCCCAGCCACGCAGCTGCAGTTGGTGTAGAAAACCTAGGGTGGGGAGGGGGCAGAGAAAAGCCTTCAAGAGCCTCCAAGGGCAAGCAGCTGGCCCAGGGCCTAAGGCTCCAGAAGGCCCCAAGGGTGCAAGCCAGTGGGGTGTGGCTAGAGGCTGGGATTTCTGACCCCTGCAGCCAGGCGGGTACCTGGACACACATGGTTCACGCACACATGGGCTGAGGCTGCAGGGAGAGCGAAGTGGTGAACAAAAGAGAGAGAGGGGCCTGGAAGAGCATCACGCCCACCATACCACACTCACACATTCACACCCACTCACATACACCCACACTCCCACCATCATACTCACACATACACACCACGCAATCACTCTCTCACACACCACAGTCCCATACATACACACACATCCACGCACACACATACATCACACTCACACAGTCACATACACACACATGTACATGTGCACACACATTCTCTCCTTCTTTCACCTGGCGATGCCAGAATGTTCCAAATTCCCGACTGTCTGCACAAGGAATCGAAGAAACCAAGAATGATTTGGGGGAGGAACTCAGATTTTCCAGCTCAGGGTCCCTCTTCCAGGGCACTGGGTTCCAGACTAGACTCCCAAGGGGAGATTCAAGCACAGCATGGAGAGATACAGACAGCAAAATGGGCACCTTGACTTAGCACGTGAGGGGCAAGGAAGGCTTCTCGAAAGAGGGGCGTTGGATTTGGGTCTTGAGGAATGAATGGGAGTTTTTCAAGAAGAAAACTGAGTTGAGTAGAGGGAAGGTCAAATGTAAGGTCACATGAAAGCGGCAGGAAAGAACCCGGCAAATCTTTCCGTGTGCCTGAGCAGAGAGTGTAGCAGAAGAGCGCAGAGGGGAGGCGCTCCAGGGCTGTGCTGGGAAGATATGATGAACAGCTTGGGACACAAAAGAGGAAGCTGGACTGCTGTTTCCAGAAACACAGTGCACCAGCGCCCTGCCAATCATACTGCTGACAGCAACTTAAAATGCTGGATGAAGTATTGAAAACATTGTCCTGAGTATATACACGAACTGGCAGAAAGTGAAAAATACTCGGGTTTAGCACTAAGAGAACCTGGAACCCAGAGAGATGAGCAGAATCCAGAAATAAGCTTTGGCTGTGATATGCTTGTAAAACTTGTACTAGGGAGTACAGCTTTCTGAGGTCTGGGGGCTCCAGGGCCAGAGGACAAATCCTAGCCCTCCCTCCTTCCAGGGTGAAGTCTACTCGGAGACCCCCGGAAAACTGGGACCCCTCCAGAGGCTGACGTAAGAGTAAAAGCTGACCCCTTTTCAAACGGCAAGGAATGGCCCCCAGGTGGGCCCAGGGGTGTGTCTGACTGCAGCCCAAATTCCCACCTGCTATGGGGCCTGGAAAGCTTCCAGCCTAGGATTCTTTCAGAAGTGGTCTAGACTGCTGGTGCCTTCAGGCACCTCACAGGAGCAAAGCAAGCCAGGAAGCCTAGGTGTTTCTTCTCCACAGATCAGAGTTTCTGACCAGTATGCCCGCAGGGACCCTCAGCCTCTGATGGGAGACAGGTTTGCAGGGATGGGTCCCATCAGACCTCAAGGGGGTCTGGTCCACGCGGGGCAGACTCTTACCTCCAGCCCAGGTGGCCTCAGACAATTCCCATTGTGAAAAGGGTCGGGAGGCCCTGAGCTGGACTCTGGGAGCCTTGGGAAGATTTTAAGCGTTGAAGGGACAAGATTTGACAGTACAAAAGCGGCTCTGGCCCCTGCGAGAGGGCGGGCCCGGGGCTGCGGGAGGGAGGGAGGCAGAGGGAGGCAGAGGAGGATGCAGAACAGGGTTTTTATTTGAGAGATATTCAAGAGGTAGAATTAGGGCAAGGCCAGAGAGAGAGAGAGAGAGAGAGTGTGAGAGAGAGACCTGGGATTCAGGCTTGGATACCTGGGTGCACTTTCCATTGCCCTGCAGAGCTTCTGTGCCTGCTAAGGCTGAGCACACACCATTCGGACCTTTGCCTACGGGCTAAGCAACCCACTGGGTTGGTGATTCATCGGAGGAACAGGCAAGGGGAGAAATATGCGAGGGCGAGATTGCTGGAAGAGAAATCAACTGCCCCCGTGCCTTTTCTGGGTAGCAGAAGATTGCGGAGATGGACCCAAAGTGAGAGGCCTTGCTCTTGGGGTTTTTTTCCCAGCCCTCATTCACATTCATCTAATTCTGGCATGAAGTTCTTCCAATGGATGACTTCAGTCTCTCCAGCTGCCTCTGATTCCCACTCCCCTGGGGGATTCAGCCTCACCCCCTGAGCCCCAGATCCCTCCAACCGTCCACCTCTTTCCATCTTTCCCCTGGTCATTTACACATTCATAAATGGTTACTGAATGTGGCCGTGATGGACATTGACTGACCCTGCCTTGAGCGCACAACTCACCACTGACCTGACAGGCAGGCTCACTGAGAGACTATTCCAGGCCAGAGTGACATGTCCTGAGTGCTGACCAGGGCCCAGCTGCACCTTCCCCCAAATACTATACCGAGACATGACCTCTGAGGATGCTCTGGGGAGGGGGTTGGGCTGGGAGGCCAGAATCCTGAGTTCTAATCCCAGCTCTGGCATTAAGACTTTGGGCAATGCCTAACCCTTCCCTGGGCCTCTATTTCTCATCTGTATAATGGACATAACAGGAGTGTGTATCACTGAGTGCTTAAAATTTCCCAGCCACTGTGCTGTTTCTCATGCATTATGTCATATAGCTCTTCACTCACTAATTAATGAATTCACCTGAGCAAAGCATTTAGCACAGTGGCTAGTATATAGTAGGTACTCAGTAGGATCACCTCCATCTTATAGACCAGGAAGCGGAGGCACAGATTAAATAGTTTGCCTAAGGTAAAGAGCCAGTTAGAGGCAGAACAGGGCTTCACACTGGGTGGCCTGGCCTCAGTACTCAGGGGCCCATATTATACTGTTCTCTTGGGGATCTTGCCTCAGCTGACAGGGCCTGGGGTCCTCTGGAAGGAGATCAAACCTCTGGGAGATCAAACCAGGCAAGGACAGTAAGTGCTAAAGGGGCCCAAAGGCTGGGATTAGGATTATTGCAAATACAAATGGTTTGCACAGCCCAGCAGGCCCCTGCTGCCTCTGAAGCTCCATCGTCCAGGCGCTTTACTCTGCACTAGCCCCTGGGGCCCAAGTCTCTCTACCTGGAGGAACCTTGGGCTTAGAGGCTGATGCCCAGAAGGATGCAAAGGGAGAGGTTCCACATGACAAAGGTGGGGAGCTCTGGAGAGAGGGACATGGTGTCTTAATGACCAGCCTGACACTATACCCCTCCCCCATGCTCTTCTGCAGCCTGGGGGCCTGAGAAAGGCAGGTATTATCCTCATTTGTCATTAAGGGGCACTGAGGAGAAAAGGAGAGGAGTGGCTAGCCTTGGTGACCTTTTAAAGGTTCACAGAGTGCACCGCTGCTCTCTTTTCCCCTCTGGAAGTCCCTTGAGGGTAGGACCCCTTGCCTCTGGGTCTTCAGTCCCCAGCACAGGGCCTGACACCAAGGAGGGACTCTGTGAAAGTTTGTTGACTGACTTATCGACCGACTGGGCTCACTGTGCCAGTCTCCCTACCGTCGCCCTGTCTCCTCGCCTGCACTCTGCTCACCTTCCTCTGCGCTGTGTGATCAAACACAGATTGGACCCTGTCACTTGCCTGCTTAAAACCTATCCAGGGCTCCCCATCCCTCTCTCGATATGGTCCCCACTGGTGGCCCGGCATTCAAGGCTCTTCTTTGCCTCGGCCTCGCTTTAGCTCTTTCAAACCTTATGCTTCTTCTCCTAGTTCTTTGCAGTTTCTTGAAACACTATGTGTGTGCACGTGCTTGCTTTCAGACTCTGCTTCTGCTGCTCCCCCTGCCTACAAAGCCCTCTCCTAGAGTGCTCACTCATCCTTGAAGATCCAGCACAAATGTGACTTCCCAGCAAGTCTTCCAGGACCTTTCCAGGCAGGATGTATCTTCTTCTATCCTTGTCTGTACTCGTGGGGACCCTCTTTCCTGCCTATCACCACCTCTGGAATTCCTGACCTGTTTCCTTTTGCCTCTCCCCTGCAAAAAAAGAAACAGCTTGAGCCAGATCTGGTTCGCCCCTGTGCTGTGGGGCCTGACCCACGGCTGGGCCCAGACCAGCGATATAGGTTAATTGTGAGAATAATGTTTTACATGAGCCAACAGAAGGAGACAGACTAGCTAACAGATAGACAGACAGACGGAAAAGCCATAAAATGAAAGTTCTCAAAGATGGAGGGCGTGATGGGTGCACAAAGACAGGGAGGGGCAGAGAGCCCCAGGGAGGCAGAGGGAGCAGTCAGAGGCTGGACCCACCTGGCTTTTGTCCAGAGCCCCCTGGACCACCCGGCTTGTGCAGCCTGCCTGGCAGGGTGTGAGGTACTCCACGTGGGTGCTGGGGTTGCAGATAGGGTTAAAGTCGTCCAGTGGACAGGAGCAATGCTCTCTGCAGGCTGGGACCAATTCTGGTCCAGTCAGGTTGCTGGGGGGGAAGAGAAGGCCGGCAGGGTTAGCGTGGCTTTCTTGCTCCCACAAGATCATGAACGGGGCCACCTCAGCGCTGCAGCCCCGCTCCCCACCCCGAGAGCAATGGCCAGAGATTTCCACTCCACACAGAAGTTTTACACTGTCAGGGCTGCTCCGTGAAGGCGCAGAGGTGGGCTCCTTGCAATGGAGATGTGCAAGCGGGGAGAGGAACTGGAAGCTGCGGGAGGCTTCCCGATGGGAGAAGCAGGGAGGAGAGCCTGATGGAGGCCTCTGAGACCCCTCCCAGCCCCAAGAGCCTACAAGCCTTTGAACTGGCAAACGTCTCCACTCCCCAATGGCCCTTTTTAGGGAACACAAGATAAACTCATCCCAGGATTTAGTCTCAGATGAAAAGTGCCTTTTTCGTGATGAGCTGGCTTGCTTCTTCTTCTTAGAAAATTCGAGTTATGTGTGTTGGACCAGTCAGGACACTGGACTAGCTGCAGGATCACTGACCTGTCCCTGCCTCTCACTGGGCCTCAGGGTCTCTCTCGGCTCAGCTGGAAACCCCCTCCCCTGGCCATCCTGCAGTCTCACAACCTCTCAGCTCACATCACGAGCCTGTTCACTGTGGCTACTGCATCACTTAGTCCCGCCATTTCTCTTTGGAGGGCCTGCCCCCAAGTCCCAGGAGTGCCCCCACTCTAGTGAGCCCCCACAGGGGCAGGAGATCAGAGCAGAGGATGGATGCAAGGGGGTAAGTCACCCTGGGAGGGGTGCAGAGGGGGTCCCTGGGACTCAGTGTGACCTGACTTCTCGGCTAGGAGGGAGAAAACACGCCAGGGAATGGCCCAGCTACAGAGGAGGCCGGAGTGGGCAGCTGAAGGCCCTGTGGGTTTGGGGTGGGTATGGGCATGGGCAGAGTGGCAGGCCTGGCCAGCTTAGTGCAGTCTCAGTTCCCTGGAAAAGAGGCTCAGCAGGGGCTGGGGAGGTGAATAAGACAACTATTGAGTCAGCTGGCCTGTGGCCAGAGTTGGGAGTGGGGTGGCAGAGCATCGGGGCAGAGGTGAGTTCCACTCCTCCTTCCCTCAGGCGGGGGTCTCCCTCCGACAGTGTGTGTGTGGTGGGGTGGGGGGCGCCGAGATCATCTCTCCCTCGTTTCCTGCCAGGCAGGACATGGAACAGGCTGGCATTGCCGGAGCTGAGGCTGCACTAGGGAACTCCACCCAGGGGCAGGCGCTCCTCAGGAAGGCCAAGTAAATGAGAGCCGGGGGCTCTTTCTCGGCCCCTTGCTCCTTGGGGAGAGCCCTGGCTTCAGGCTCGGTCCCTCCCAGCTGGACAGCCCTGGATGGGTGACTTCACCTCTCTGAGTCTCGCTATCCTCATCTGTGAACTGGGGATAATGGTAAGGCCCCTCCTGGAGATCCTGTGAAGTTTCAGTGAGACAGAATATAGGAAGAACTAGGTTCGTGGGAGACCCTCGGTTCTTGGCAGGTGTCGGTATCATTAGTTGGGCTGGAATATGAGAAATTCTCCTTAATCTGCTGAGTTTGTCCCAAAAGGCTTCTTCAATGAATTAGAGCCCAGAGCTCAGGTGAGGAAACTGCATGAAGAGGAGAATACAGTGAGATGAGATGTCAGAGTCAAGGAGAAAGGCAGAAGGAAAGAGAAACTGGCATGTGTGCTAGGCCACCTTTTTTCCATTTCCTTTTTGCAAAAACGGTGCTAAAATATCCATTTGCTCTTTACTCTACAAATCCGCTAGAGGCCCTAGCTCGCTCCTCAGACCAGGGACTTCAGGGGGCCTGGCTAAAGCTCCACCAGCCGTGCCCAGAACAAGGGCTCTGCAGACAGAGGCAGCAGAGTCGCCTCACTGGGCAAAGAAGGGAGACCATAGGAAGGGAAGGGAAATGGCAATGGGGGAAAGATGTATTGTGGGACCGAGGACAGAGAGAAGAGCTGAGCATTTCAGGGCCCTGAGCTGTGCCTCCTGCAGGTGGCAGAGAGCTGGCACATGGGTAGAGGGAGGAAGTGCCCAGAGAGAGGTGGGCACGGAGACAATTGGGGAATTCTAGCTGGATCCTGGGCCAGCCTAAGTCTGGAGCAGTTCCCGGGAAGAGTGAAATCATTCTGGAGAAGAGGCAGCAATGTATCTTTCAACCAACATCCTCTCAAAGACGGACCCCACCGGAAGAGGGCATATGTCTGCAGCAAGGTTGGGGGATGGAGAGATGAAGAGAGATAGGCATCGGAGGCTTTCCTCCTGGTGCTGCTCCAGATGTGGAAAAAGAACTCTAGAGTTTAGGGTCACGGAACAACAGAATTTTAGTTGCCAGGCTCTAAGAACCCCCAATCTTCGAGGGCTCTAAGCTAACCTCTTTCTAGAGCTTAAGCCCCTTCTGCAGTGTCCCTGATAGATGCCTTCCAGCCCCCTGCTCACTCCTTCTCTCTACACTCTCCCCCCCCCCCCCAGGATGGAGAGTATGCAGGCTCCCAGGCCGGCCTTTCCTCTGCCCAGAAACGAAGGCTTCCTCAGGCTGGGTGGGGTCCTGCTCTCTGATGTGACCTCTATCTCACCTCTGATTGGCCCACAGGGCTTGGCCGTTCTGGAGATGGCATCCCCACAAGTGGCTTTGCCCTGCCTTGGCTTTCACCTCTCCTCAGACCTGAACTGTCCTGTCTGTGATGTTCCCTGCCCCTTCGAGTGATGCCTGACACCTTCACTGGAGACGAGGAGAAAGAAGTCCCACTGCTCTGAAGTCTGGTGGGGAGGGGAGGAGAAGGTGCTGGTGGAAAGTGAGATTTGAGGTGGATAGGTCTCCTAATTCCCCTGGCCTTGTCTGGGCCCCCTCCCGGACGCCTCCCCCGACCTGCTCACGCTCCTGTGCTCTCTCACACACTCACCCAGGCTGGTAGGTGACACCCGCAATCTGGTGGGTAGGGCAGCCCATGAAGAAAAGGGGCAGGCCGAGAAGTAGGCAGAACAGCGCCCCCAGCAGGCAGAGGGCTCCACAGCGCATGGGGCCCAGGTGGAGGCGCTTGACCAGGATGCCCCCGACCACGATACCCGTGATGGCCGATGGGATGGTGATGCCGCCGATGAGCAGGTTGGCGTAGGACGCCGTGACGGAAAACTGGCGCTCCAGGAACTTGGGCAGGAAGGTGGCCATGCCTGCCACCATGGATGACGTGCACACCTGGGACAGGACCACCAGCAGGAAGATGGGGTGGCGCAGGGTCCGCAGCAGCACCCTGGGGAACACTGTTGGGGGAGCGGGCAGGTCAGAGTGGGCAGGACAGCCATTCTTTTGTTTCTGCCCCATCCTGCCCTGTTCAGTTTAGACAGATCTATTCCCTCCATCCTGTCTCACTGAACTCTACTGCATTCAATTCTATCCCATCACAATAGACTCCTGTCCATTTAATTCTTAAAAAAATTTTTTTTAAATGTTTTACTTATTTCTGAGAGAGAGCATGAGCAGGGGAGGGTCAGAGATAGAGGGAGACACAGAATCTGAAACAGGTTCCAGGATCTGAGCTGGCTGTCAGCACAGAGCCCGACATGGGGCTCAAACCCATGAGCCATGAGATCATGACCTGAGCGGAAGTCAGAGGCTTAACCGACTGAGCCACCCAGGCTCAGAATTCTATTCTGCTTTTGAAACTCAGTTTTATTACACTTCATAGAGTTAGGTTACACACTAATCATGCTTCTTTCTGTTCGACTCTAGCCAAAATTTGATTTCATATAGTTCCGTATAGGAATATGGATTCCAGTTCATTCATCTCATCCCACCTCATTCCATTTCTACCTATTCATCTTAGTTTTCCCACTTAGTCCTTTAATCCTGTCTTGCTCTAGCTCTTTCCAAGCCAACCCAGCCCTTTGTCTTCCCTCCTGTGTCCCCAGCATGGGACAGACATCATTTCTATTTCTCCATAGAAATTCACTAACACACCACATGTTTTATTCACTTAGCCATTTGTTTGTCTCCCCACCAGAATATAAGCTTCATTTTGTCTGTTATGTTAATTGATGTATCTCCAGAGCCTGGGGCATAGACTCTCCATAATATTTATGGAATAAATGAGGGAATGAATATATGGATGAACAGCCCAATACATGATCAACTATCAAAATTTTGGAGCAGGACTAAGACCTCCAGAGAAGGCAAACACTTAGCAGGCTCAGTGCTGGGTGGCTTCTCAAGCGGGACTGAGGTAGAGCATGAAGAATGGGTCTGAAGGAAAAGGACTCCTTGTAGGGACGCAGCAGGGACAAGGGCACGGAGAAAGGCTTAGAAGTGACAGGTCTGGCTCTGATGACCTCCCAGTTTAGGAGCTCTCCTGCTAGCTTCTAAACTGATGTCTAGTGTACAAGTTTCCTCGCTGCAAATCTGCTAAGCGGAAGGGCATGTAACATGGGGTAAGTCTGAAAGAGCTTCAGGGCCTTCATCAGCTGGGGCAGCCAGGAATGCTTCCTGTTGTGACATGCGCAACTCTCTCTCCACTAACATCAAAAGAGAAAGACGGGTTTCTGCCTGCAGGAGGTGAGTTGGAAGTTAACTTGAGGTGTGGGGGAGAGAGGAGGAAAGGCCTTTCCAAGATCAGAGGAGCAAACCACCTGGCAGTCGGGACTGGTGGGGAAAGACAGCCACGGGGCTCCTCTGGGCCAAGTGGGGGTCCCTTTCGTTCCTGCAGTAGCAGGACCAGGGCCTGGTCACTTGAGATCTTTATCTGTCCTTAGAGCATGGCCAGAGCCCAGTCAGCTGGCCTTCCGGACCCCTGGACCAGGCTAGGAATTATTTCCTTAGGCGCCAGAAAGTAAAGACAAATAGTCTAGGCAGGGTGGGTAAAGGCTGGGACTGTGGAATTCCCCTTCCTTTATGTCCCAGGCCTGCCTCCTGTCCTGAGTCCCTTGCAGCGCAAGCACATTCAGCCAGCACTTGGAGTGAGAAGGTATCACATGTGGTTTTCATCCCAGCTAGCTGTTCCCGTCCCCTCCCTCCCATGAGCTGCCCTGGCCACGACTGGCCCAGGCTGTACAGGTGCCTTCATTGTACAGGTGGGGACTAGAGAAGGGCAGGAACTCACCCAAGTTCACCTAGAGAGGCCCCAGGAGTTGCCAGAGGTTTCGTAACTCCGAATGTAAAGGAATGAGTAAAGGTCATTCCGTATACCGATACCTCCCCCACCTCACCCACATTCCTGCGCCCCTCTGGCTGCCTGACTCCAGGGAGCTCGATCTCCCTGTTTTTATCCCGTTCTCCTGTGCTAATAATCATTGCACTTTGTTCCCATCCTCTATCTGGCTTCAGCATCTGCAGCCTATCCCTAAAACAGATGGAAAATTCCTAGAGGACAGGGCTATGCCTTTCACTTAGATAGGGATACCTGAAGGGGAACTCCAGGGGCACCTCCCTTAGGTAGCTGCTTCCCTTAGCTTAGCACAGTGTCTCTTCCATCAGGCAAGCTAGGGCTTCTCCCCATTCAGAGACTGTGTCTCCCTTATCAGACCGGAGCCTTCACAGCTCAGAGGCCAGGTCTTCCCTCACTTTAGGGACTGTGTTTCTTCCATTTGTCGGGGGTCTCCCTTAACTCAAGGATAATACCTCCCCCATCAGACAGGGGCCTCCTCCAGCATAGAAGGCAGCTTCCCTCCATTAGACAAGGCATGTTCTCCCTCCATTCAGGGTCTATGTATCCTCCATCAGACAGGATCTTCCCCCCAGCACAGAGATTGTGTCTCTCTCATCGAACAGGACTCCCAGCTCAGTCTCCCAGCTCAGGCACTATGTTTCCCCAATCAGACAAGGACCTTCTCTAACTCAGGGGCTGTTTTCCCCTAAGAGGTTAGGCCTCCTCCAGCCGAGGGCCATGATTCCTCTTCCCTTTGGCTCCTCCATAGTCCCATGTGGTCAAGGCCGAACCTCAGGTCACACCGATCCCTCCGGAACTCAGCAGAAAGCTCAGAAGCCAGGCTTGCTGACCAACTTCAGGGCCTATGGCTAGCCCTGCCTCAGTCTCCTCTAGGCTCATGGAGAAGCTGAAACAGCCAGAGACAAGCTACCCAGGGCACCCGCTCTGGGATCCAATTTCAGGGATTGACCTCAGCTTCCCTCTGGGCAGAAGCCAAAGCAGTGATTAATAAACTCTCCTATGGAGCAGTGTGCTGGGGCCTTCCAACAGCTGTGGGTGATCTGAGGCTAGGAAGTCAAAGCTCCTCCTGCCTCTAGGCCCAGCCCCATGGCGGCCAGCCCCTGCCCCCTGCTGTCCCCGGAGATACCGAAGAACTGGGGGCTGGATTACTGGCATCCCGACATCAGGTCTTAGGACACACTTCCAAGAATTGAGCCTAATTAACTTCCTGTTTCAGAAGTCCTCAGTGGGGGCAGGGGTGGGTGTTGAAGCAAGCCCTGTTGTTATCACCCTCCTAAACCATAGGCAGCTCAACTTACCGTCCTGGGACATGGTCAGAATAATAGGAGTAGGGCAGGGGTGATAATCTAAATAATAATTGGACCTTATATAAGTAAAGTTGTTGTTGTTTTTAAATATTATACAAAAGGCTTTCCATTCATCACCCCATTTGCTTCCTTCTCCTAATAGTCCTTGAGAGAAGTAGAGCAAAGATTATTGGCCCTGAGGTTTCAGAGAGCTGAGAGGAGAGAGAGCCAGGCTTGCTGGGGGAAGGAGAGGAACAGCACTTGAACTTGACCAAGAGGGACAAGGAAGATGTTGATAGATAGCAATAAAAACTGATGTTCCAGGCAGAGGGGATCATATATGCAAAGATTTACAGGAGTGTATGGTGCTCAAGAGGGGGCTGTAGGTGTGAAAGATAAATCAAGAAGGGCAGGAAGGGGCTGGATCCCATACAGCCTCAGATGCCCCTCCGGTCCGCCTCCCCATATCCTGGCCAGAGCCCCTTTACCTTTGATGAACTGGATCACAGTCAGGTCTGTTGCAATCTGGACCACGCCATCCTGCTTCTCAGAGGGAGAATCTTCACCCTGGGAAGACAAACAATCCAGGGCAGTCAGCTGGACGCCAGACATTCTGCCCAGAGATGCCTATGGGTGCAGAAACACTCCGGGAGAGAAGAGGCTATGGGGCTGGCACCTCATCAGTAGCAACAGACGCCAGCAGTGTTCCATTTGTTCTTAGCCCCAAATCGGCCAGAATGGATTGATGCTGATGCCTGCTGGGTGGGGGTGAGATCTCTCTGGTGCCTGAACACCTTGTAAGACCTCAGGACCTTTGCTTCACCTTGGTGGGGGAGCCCCGAGAAAGGCTGAAGTTGAGTGTCTTGCTAATCCAGCAGGATGGGCGTTCAGAGTAGAAGGTAAGTTGATTTTCAGAGAAAATAACTATCTTACACATACATGTCTGTCCAAGTCAAAGCTTGTTCAAGTGTCTCTCCCCTGCCATGCTCTGAGCTCTGTAAGAGCTCAGGGATCATCTGTGGTTTATTCTCTGTTGAAACCTTGGTGCCTAGCATACGGCCTGAGGTAAAATAGCGGGCAGCTGATAAATATCCATGAAAAGAAGAAACGCAAGACATGTCTCTAACAGGCAACAGGTGCGGCCAGTGCTGGCCTCTTGGAAGAAAAATGAGCAACAGGAGATGCTAATGGAATGCAGACAAGCTCGTACACTGCTCAGAAGTGGGTTCAGTTTGGCTCAGAACAGGGCAAAGGGTCCACACTGAGTACCCCAGGGGCCTAGCAGAATTGGGGATTCCAGGATATGCCAGGGCACCAGTATGTGGGCTCCTGCCCTGTCCCCACTGGGACCTGCAAAGGAAGGAGACTTACACTCCACACCTGAGCATAGAAGCTGCGAGGTTAGGTAACTTGCTCAACATTGAACAGAACTATGATCTGAGCTTAAGCTTGCCTGAGTAGAAAACTCATGCTTTATCCACTAAACCCTGTGAGGCAGAGGCCCCAGTGCAAGACAAGCAGAATTGGGAGGCACCTTTGTGGTGTAATGTGAAGAGGCCTGAAAGCCCATACTTCGGGTCTTACCCCTCTGGGTGAAGTACTGGGGGTCTGAGCTGTACTGTCCGACACAGCAGCCACCAGCCATGTGTGGTTGGTCCAAATTGAGATGTGCCATGAGTATCCAATGCAGGTTGCATTTCAAAGACTTTGTGTGAAAAAGATGGGGAAATACCTCATTATTAGTTTTTTTATATTTATGATGTGCTAAAATGAGAATATTTTAGATATAGTGGGTTAACTTAATTATTAAAATTAATGTCTTCAACTTTTGAATGTGCTGCCAGACATTTAGAATTGCATATGTGGCTCACATAATATTTCTTTTGGACACACTGCCTTCAAGAGAATCAGGGAATCTCCTTGCACCTTTCTTAGTCCTAGCCAGGCTCTGGAGAGTGGTGCAGGAAGGACCTGGGACCCCAAGGTGCTAGGCCTGGGGTACTGCCCAGGAACAGAAGGAGGAGGCGCTAAGATACACTATTAACTTCCCAGCGTTTCTTTATCAGGGATGGATGGATAGGCTCGCCCTTTGGACAGGCAGAACCTTGTGAGTTCCTTGTTTTCATGTCAACAGTAAAGACAGCCACAGTGTTTGCATGTACCACCCTATATGGTTTATCCAGCACTTTCACATCCACTGTGTCATCTGATTCTCATAGCAGTCTGGTGAAAGGGTTATTACTGCACCTATTTCACAGAAAAGGAAACTGAGGCCCCAGAAGGGGAAGTATTGCCCAGGGAGTAATGGGCAGAGCAGGTTCTCGAATGTGGGTCCTAGAGTACCATGCTGTCTCATGCTGTGAAAAAGAGCATGGAGTTTGGAGACAAGAGGGGAGGGGCAGACCTTCGGCGGGGGGGGGGGGGGTGTGTGTGGTAAAGGAAGACATCCAGGAGAAGTGAGGTTTGGGATTTGTGGACTGGAAGGGAAAGGTTATTTGAAGCAAAGGCATAGTATAGCAGGAGTGTGGTGGGGGGAAGGGGTCTATCAGTGCGGAAGCAATAAGGAAGCCATCCTGACTATGGCCAAGAGCAGCTGGGGCAGGAGTTGAGCAGTTTGGAGGGCCATGCTAAGGGCCTTATCTGGTAGGGACTGGGGGCACTGACCTAGCTCCTGTCCTGTGTTCTCCACAGGCTCCTGCCTCTCTCCCCAGATCTGTTTTGAGGACTCCTGACTAAGAGCCGGCTCTCGAAACCGAAAGCCTGTGGCTCTGCTCAGAGCACGGCTTGGAGTCAGACACATCTGGCTGTGGTTTGCCCAGGTCAGCAGGCCTGCGCTGAGTGAGCTGGTTAGAACTTCCCCTCTGGGGGCCGTGTGCTGACTGCTGCAAGCCTGCGGGACACTGGACACTGTGTGTGGTCCTGCACATGGAAGGGCCCTGTCTGCTGGGCCTCCAGGGATCTAGAAGCTGTCCTCAGAGGAGGCTGGGTTCCTGGAAAGCTCTGTGTGGAGCTGTGACCCCAGCCCCATGGAGCCACGCTGACCCTGGCAGGTGATATGGCACTCTCTAACAGACCACGGCAAGCAGCCACAGGGAAGGGGTTATCTGCTAGACTTCCTACCTGCTGCAGGAGAGAGATCGTGTTTCTAGCAGAGTGGCTGGAGATCTGAGCTTTGCTGAGGATGGTGACATGCTTTGGGCTTTCTCATATTGAGATCCACGCAACCGGCCATGCCTCTCTTTTCCCTCTGGCTACCAGATAACTCAGAACCAAATAAGTGGTTCGGTGATAACAACTGAGCTTATCTTTGTGGTCCCTGCTCCCATGTTTCTCTCTCTCATTCTGACAAACTTTTGCTGCCATTTCTATTTTCCTGCTTCTTGGTCTTAATTGAGTGATTCAGCCCAGGTCCTGCAATGCTCTTCCTGGGTCTGATCTCAGCTCCACCTTTCACTAGCCATGTGGTTGGGCCACTTAATCTCTCTATGACTTGCCACCTCAGGTGTTAAATGGGAGTAACAGCTGCACCTACTTCGTGGGTGGATTACAAAGATTAAATGAGATAATACATACAAGGGCTTAGAACAATGCATGCTACAGAGTAGGCAACAGCCTAATTCCCCACTCTTTTATTAGTACTATTCATGAGTTTGGTGTGAGCTGTAAGAAGAATATTAGAAAAAATGGTATTTTTTTCCATTATTTTTTGAAACTCTATAGAGCTGCCTGGATCAGAGAAAGATTAAAAACAAGCATTCCTGGTGGTCAGGCCTTGAACAACCCACTTCACACTTTGCCTTGTTTCATTCTTACAAAAACCCCAAGATGTGGATGTCGTGATTATACCCATTTTATGGATTTCAGAATTATAAGTGCAGAGGCAGGATTTGTACCCAGGCTGGTTTGGTATGGATACCACGTGTCTAACTCCTGCTGCTGCTGGCCTCCCAGCCTCCACTCAGATGCCTCAGGCACCAAGGAAACTCTTGGACCAGATCGGCTTCCAGTCAGCTCTCTTCTTTAGCCTCAGTCTCCTTGTCAGTCAAACAGAGGTATTGGACTAGATCGGTGTTTCGGAAACCAGGTTTTTAGCAGCAAAACCCTCTCCTCAATTGAAACCTCACTCCAAAGACTGGTATAAAACCACATAAAAGTAGAACCTGGCTGATTGAAGTGTGTGTGTGTGTGTGTGTGTGTGTGTGTGCGCGCGCGCGCGCGCGCGCATGGAAGTGGAAGGTCCTTAGTCCTACTGGGGGACACCTGTCTTCAATCTCCCTATGGTGGCACCCTCGGGGTTCTCCCTAGGGTCCCAATTTGGGGTTCTGTTGAAACCACTCAAGCAGATCACTCCAAAGGGCCTTCCAGCCCCAGTGTTTTAGGAAGCTCTGATCTACACCAGGCTGTGAAGTGGGGAGGACTCACTTTAGCCCTTTGGGGCCAAGACCTGGCCTTGTACAGACTGGTGCAGGGTGGGGTGTTACCGGCCCAGCTCTGGGCACAACCTTGGCCCTCTCTGGGCCCGAATCCCTCCATCTGTAAGATAGAGCGGGGGTTGAAATGGATGATCACACAAGACTTTCTACCTTAGAGAGTCGAGGAGGGGTGAGGGTGGAGTCACAGACCTGGGTTGCTAGGGATGGGGAAGGACACGTGAGCTAGCCTAGGCTGGCTGGGAAGGGTCTGGAGGCAGTGACTGCAAGGGACAGGTGCCAGGCACAAGAGAGACACAAGTCACCTTGGACCTCACAGGGGCTGTAGAAGGAGCACAGAGTCTAAGAGGGAACAGACGCCTTCTAGCTGGCTGTAAGTCCTGGGCTTTAAGCGCCATTGCCACTGTCCACTCCTGTCCCCACCCTTGACCATTCTCCCAAAGAAGCACATCAGGCTAATGATTGGGAGAAAATAGATTTCACAGACACCTAGACTCAGAGGCCCAAATTGTAGCCATGTAGAAATGTCAATTTTTAGACACACAGATCATATGAGGCATAGAATCTTAAAATAATAGAACACAAGCACTTGAGAATCTTTACTAGAAGCACAGAACTTTAAAACTATATAACATTAGAATCCCAGACTCTGAGAGACAACCTAGAATAACAGACATGGAGACTCCTGGGAAATAGGAACCGAGAGAAAGTGACAGCAGCCAATGGTGCTCAGAGGCTGGGCAGGTACAGGGGATCTCGATGGGTGAGGCCTTTGTCAGCCCCTGGCCCAGACCCAAGGGTAGGCACTCAGAGGGACCTGAGGGTATGGAGGGCAAAGGAGCATTTCTGACTGAATGGGGTCCTATGACCAAAGAACAGATGGGACCAGATGACCTGCTGGGGAGCCCCTGAGGAGCCATCTCTACTCCACAGGCTCTAGAGAGCCGTCTGCAGGGAGTCATGGGGCTTGACAGAACCTTAGAGACTGTCTGATTACAGACAAGGTCTCTGCACTTACAGAGAGGTAAGACCTGCGCTGGTTCACTTCTAGAAGGATTCTGGTGGCCACAGACACACGGGCAGAATCAAAGGCAGGAAAGCAGATTCCTGCCCCTTCACATCCTATGTAGCCCGTCCATCTACCATCTTATAGTCTTCTCTGTGGAGACAGTTCATGCTCCCCTCCCTGCAGGCAGAGAACTCTAAGCACAGGCCATGGGGAAACCTGAGCTGTCAGTCATCCCTCCTGTCTGTCTGAGTCTGGCCTTCCTTCGTTACCAGAGAGCTCCTTGGGGCAAAGGCTATGGACGGCACGCTTTTCTCCCACAGCGAAAGGGCTCATATACTGCTCCAGAGACAGGGGCCATTTAGAGAAGACATCCTTGAACCTGGTAGACCCTTGTTCAATCTTCTGCGCATTTTACAGATAAGGAGACTGTGGTCAGAGACCTTCGCCTGGTCACACAACCCTTATGTTACATACCATCACACCACCATTAAGAACTGGATTTACTTGTAGGAGGGTACTTAGGGGTCCCATGAGCCTCAGAGAAGTTGTTTGAAGGGATGTGAGAAATAGCCTCCCCTTCGCTTTCTTCCCCTGCCTGTTCCCACTCTCTACAGAAGCTACACTTTCCATGTCTGTGGGCCTGAACTTTCTGCCTAACTGGGCCCTTCCTCTTGGTCCATCTACCTCCCCTTCAGTGGCCTGAGTGGGCTGGGCCAGCGTGAGTAACTGCGAGCAGAGCTGGCCAAGGCAGCCTCACGGAGGCGGGGGAACAACTCCTCCCACATCAATATTTATTGCCTGAGAGCTGCTGGAAGCGGATCATCATGTTCTCAGCCTTCGGTTCTTTTTTAAGAACCTCTCACCCCCTTCCTTCCTCACTCCCCATCCCCAATGTGCTGACAGAATGAATCCAGACAGCCAGACAGGTTCACAGCCGGGTAGCCAGGGTTTCAAAGCATCACAGAGATGCAGCTCTTAAAACCCAAATCTGCATCACAGCGGCTTCAACTCCAAAAACTGTGCCTTCTTAGACTTCGAGGCACACAGAAAGAATATCGCTCCAGGAATGCAACCTCAGAGTCTTATGTGATGGAACAGAATGGAGAAGTGACTGGCTCAAGGTCATACAACTGACACATGACCACTGAGCCCTTGGACATGCCTCACCCTTGCTTCTTCCACTGAGTCCACGCATGGCTCAAGTGGGTGTTCTCCACTCAATTTCAGGCCCAACTTGGAGACTGTCCACAACCAGAAACCCAGGCTCTTCCCTTTCGCTATAACTATCCCTACTTCTAAGAACTCACCTCCAAGTTCTAGGAATTTGTACCTCATTCAAATTCTGGCCTGAGCTAGGCAGAACCAGTAAGGGCCATCTGTGGTTTTAAGCTATCTTCTTCCCATGAAACTGGTCCCTCTGCAGGGCTTGCCTCCCCCTGCCTCCAAGCCTAGCACCAGCCCAGCACTGCACTGTCCTGGGATGTCCCATAGTAAAGAAGCATCTGGGCCCAAGCAGTCCCCCTCCTGGGAGGCTCCTGGACTCAACTATTTGGCCTGCCTCATTGCCAGTGCACCAGTTCCCACCTGGATCACAGCCATGGCTGCTGCATCAGTCTCTCCATGCCCACACACTTCCTCTGTCTCTTTCCCAGCTTTGAACCTGGTCATAGAGCCATGGGAATCCTTTCAAGGCTACTTGCTGCTCTTGAAGCTGTCAGGCAAGGCTCTTCCTGTCCTAGCCCCTACTGGCTATTCTAACATCAATTTTCATTGGTCCCCCATGTATATGCCCTCTGCTCCAGTGGTGGGGGTGGTGCTGGGGGGGCGCTGGGGGGGCGGACGGAGGGAGATAGAGTAGTGAGGCTCATAGAGCAGCCACTTTTGGGGTCAGACAGACTTGGGCTCAAATTCTAGCTTTTCTAGGCAAAGACATTTCCAGCCCTTTCTCCAAGGCCCAACCTTTCTTGTTCACATCACAGCAAGCATATTCAAATGCACCAACCTGCCTCATTAAATAGAATTATTCTTGCTGCAAAATATTCAACAGTCTTTTTTACAAATTGTCCCTTTGAAATTAGAATACTTAGTGACAAATAAGTTATTATTGTGATTTCTCCCTAATTACTAAATAATAAGAAATATATAAACATAAATAAATAAATAAGCTATATATATATATATTCCTGACAAAGAGCTCCTAAAATTCTTGTAAATAAGAGTGCTTAGGAGGATCTTCTACTATTTAGTCTTTGACCCCTGTTCCTGACATGGAACTCCTCAGATCTGTGTAATTTCCTAAGTGCCAGGAGCATCTGACACCAAGCTCCTAAATTCCTTGGAATTTCCTGGATGAGAGGAAATTAGAAACAACATCTTTTGTTCTAATGGGATGACTCTCAGTGGGCTTCTGATGGGAAGGGGTCACCAGAAAGACCAAACCATGATTATAAGCTTAGAACTTTCAGTCCTCCACCCCACCCCCAATTCTCCAGAGAGGAGAGAAGGGCTGGTAATGGAGTTAAGAATCGATCAAGTCTATATGGAAAAAAGCCCCCACAAAATCCTAATAGTATGCGGATCTAGATTGGTAAACACATCCACGTACCAGGAGCGTGACACACCCCAACTCCACTGGGGACAGAGGCTCCTGCACTGGGGATCCTCCCAGACCCCACTCTGTGTAATCTCATCTGGCTGTTCAGCAATGCACTTTATCATGTCCCTTGTTACAGAATTAGCTGGTAAACGTAAGTAAGTCCTTTCCTGAGTTCTGTGAGCTGTTCTAGAAAACAATGGAATCCAAGAAGGGGGCTGTGGCAACTTCTAATTTGCAGCCAAGTAGGACAGAAGTTGTGGGTAACCAGGGGCAGGGTCTATTCTCTGCAAATGAAGTGCGACTTCAACTGTAGGGCTGAGCCCTAACCTGTGGGATCAGATGCTGCCTCCAGGTGGACAGTGTCCGCGCTGAGTGGGACACCCTGTGAGTGTCGCCAAGAATTGGTTGGCATGAAGAACCCCTCACATTTGGTCACAGAAATGTGTGTGTGAGGACTTGGGAAACAAGAAAATCAGATGTACAGATTTTCAGAATGTCATGAAATGTGTGTATTATAAAAATTTGATCAAGTCGACATTAATGGTATATTGAACTTCTATGAAACGTTTCTATTTTGTCATTTTCTTTTGTATTCTGGAGCCAATGTATTGTTTTTAAGGCCTCATGTGTTGGTGAGTCTGTGGAAAGGTGGGAGGTGCCCCGACCAGTTATCTGACCTGCCCAATGGGTCTCCTCTGAGGAAAGACCATCTGCCCTGTAGCTGAGCAGGGGTTTCAGCAAGATGTCCTCCGGCACCTCATGGTTTGTCACTTGTCTATGAATCTTTGTCCCCACTAGGCCAAGCCTGTTTTAAGGGGAGAGGCCATGTGCTGCTGAACTCCAGTGTCGGTCTGACATCTAGCCTAGAGGAGGCACTCAATGCGTGTTTGTCCTCTCACTGCTCCTGAAAAGGCCAGGTTCATTTCTATAGCTGAACCCTTTGCCCATGCTGGGTCCACACCTAGAATGACCTTCTCTAGGCTCCCAGCATCCTTCAAAGTACAGCTCAATTTCCACCCCTTCAGAGAAGTCTTCTCAGACCCTCTCACCCAATCTCTACCACCTCCTAGCTCTCAATATTGCTCTGTCATGGTATGGTTAGAGCTCACAAAAACCATGAAGTGTTGAGCAGAAAGTTAGAAAGTGCGATGTTTAGAGAGAGGGCATGGGATCAGAGAGATTGGGGTTCTCATCCCAGCGATGCCTTCACTGGCCTTGTGACCTTGGGAGAGTCACTTCCTCCTCTGGCCCCTGATGTCTTCAGCTGTGGAAGGGGCCTGACATACTCACTCCGTGGGGCTGTAAGGGGATGCTGTGGAGCCTGGATAGGAATGTATTTGCAAGTTGTGAAGTGCAGAGCCAGGGAGGGATGAAGTTTAAGGTTACAAAGGAGAACAAGTGGGTGGAGGCTGGAGCCTGGACTCGGGTGGGGATATGGAGGGCGCTTACTTTGCTGACAAGTGAGTCTGAGACCGCCAAGACCTTTCGCCGAAAGTGAAGTTCGTGCTTCTCCTTGGGCATCTCCCTGGGGAAGAAGAAGTAGGGGATGGCAGCCAGGGCCACCGCGCCAGCAGAGATGAGGAAGCCTAGCCACCAGGCACCCACCCATCGGGGGTCTTTTGAGGTCAGGTTGATGCCACCTGAAAGAGAAGACCATAGTAATGTTAGAATCAGGATCCCATGGTGGTGGGACTGGCTTCTGAGACATGAGGTGACGTGGACCAGGTGTCAGGAGACTTGGGCTTCAGTTGTGGCTTTGCCAGTTACGTCCCATCTGATCTTGACCCTTCTTGGACCTCAGCTTTTTCAACTACTCAGGCATTGTATGTAGTGGACAATGTTATGAACTTTGGAAATGGACTGTTGAGTCTGAATTTCCATTACTAACATAACAACCTTGGGCAAATTACTTAACATCTTTGTGCCTCAGTTTCTTCCTCTGTAAAATACAGACAGTAGTAGTACCTATATCATAGGTGATGATTCATAGAAACTGACATATGTAAAGCATTTAGAATAATGCCAGCACAGAGTATGTGCTGTATAAGAGTTTGCTCTTCTTCCTCATCTTACTGTTACTGTTGTAATTATTATTATTATTATTAAATTGATGGTCAGGGCTATTCTTGTGCTTTGCAGACCTGCATCATTAAAATCACTAGAGTGCTTGTAAAAAATACCCACGATCAACTTAAAACTGTCACAGGTGTAATTAGGACTAGGTTATTCCAGATGTGCCTCCTGGTTGGAATGCCTATTTCCCCCATCCAAGCCCTGACCTCAAAGCTGAGTCAGATACCTCCTCCTTCAATTGCTATAGCATCCACAAACATTTTATAAAGACACAGATGCCTAATGACACCAACCCCCTGAGCAGGGCTGGTCCCCAGTTGATTGGTCCTGAGCTCACCTGGACAGGGGCCAGAGTACACAACTGACACTCAGTAAATGTATCTGTAAAGCTGGGGATAAAGTTGGCTTTTGCACTAAATCCCTCCTCCACCTATTATTTCCCCTGCTTTTGTGCCAGCCTGGGAAGCGTCAACACACGCATCTCCCTGACTCCTCCGCTTCTCACACACCCATCTGCCCCTGCAGCAGACACACCCCGCCCACACCATGAAATCCCCCATAGAGAAAGCTTAGGGAGGTCAGTCCACAGGAGCCCCACATCAGCCATGATGTCAACAGAGCCAGAAAACACACCCCCCTGCCCCAGAGCTGGGACACGTCTGGGAAACCTAAGGAAGATAACCAGAGCTCACACTTGGCTCCTGGGCCCAACTTTCTAGAAGGGAGGAAGGTGGGGCAGGGTTATCCCTAGCGAGACTTGTTCAGAGCTGCCCAGACCTGTCCTGGAGGCACCCTTGTGCAAAAACCAGAGAACAAGAAGCAGAATCTGTGTGCCCAACCATTCATACATGTGTGACCCTGAGCTTGCTGAAAATCTCCAGGTGAGGGATGGGCCTTCTGAGCAGCAGGAAGTAGAAGGCATAGGTGGGGGCTCAAAGCTGCTTAGATGTGACAATCAGGCAGCTGGGACCTGTTCTGAAAGGACTCCTCTCTTACTCCCTGTAGGGTGCCAGAGCTTGGGGACCCCCGCCGCTGCCTGAGTCTGGCACCTTCAGACCCAGCTTCCATCCCACTCCTTGGCCCACTCCAGCTACTACGTGGAGTAGTGACTGAGGTTCCCTAAATGGTGCCCTTGCCACAGGTTCCCAGACCCTGAGGTGGTCAGAACCAGAAGGGTCCTTAGAGGTCACCCAATAAGTTTCCATCTGAGGTAGGCCCAAGGTAACTGAGTACTGCTCCAGAACTCTTCTCCTGTGTGCTTCTCTATTCCCCTGTCTGATGACGCATTCCAGCTTATCTTCAGCTTTTGTTTCATTCTGATTGCAGCTCTGGGAGGTGGACATGACAGACAGTATCTCAGAGATGAGGAAGCTGAGGCTCAGACAGGTTAAGAGGCATGTCCAAGGTCAGTAGGATTGCTGGGATTTGAACCTAAGCCCCCTGGCTCAGTGTCTCCTATGGGATCAGTGATCAGTGAGCTAGCTAGCATCTGTGTGCCCCCAAGGACAACTGTGTGCTCTTTAGGCTCACCTTCTGGCATCCGGTCAATGTCTACATAAAGGCGTAACATGAGGCCGCCCAGCCCATAGGCCATGCCTGGCCCCATCATGGTTACTGCAAACAGGATCCCTGAAACACAAAGGCTGGGTTAGTCTCCTCTGGCCCTAGCTTCCCTCAGCAGATCAGTGCCTACCCAGTCTCTAATAAGCAAGAGCAGCTGGTCAGGCCCAGGAAACTTTGGATCTTCTCTGGTCACATGGGGCAGAGGTCATGGATTCATGCCCAGCCCCTACCTCTCTCATCCCACTTCCTCTGAACCTGGCCCTCCCTCAGAGCCCAGTTCTCACCAAGGTAGAGGGGCGAATTGCTGTTGTGGGCAAAATCATCGATGTAGGAGATGCCGAAGGGCTGAATGGGCACACTGCCCACGCCGAGCAGGGTCTGTGCCGTGAACATTATCCCCACCACAGCCAAATGATGGCTCTCTGTGTAGCTTGAGCAGCTGCTGTTGGAGGGGGTTGGGGCTGGGACCAAGGTTTCGGTCTGGCACAGAGAAGCCTCGAAATCCTGTTGCATGTCCACTAAGAGATGATAAAAAATATCATGGTGATAGCTAAGACTCTTATAGAGCATGCACCGGATGCAAGGTATCATTTTAAGTGCTGTGGTTATAAATCGTTTGACTCCCTCCCTCCAACAAACCTAGAGGATGGTTGCTCTCATTACTCCCATTGTATAGATGAGGAAACTGATGCTCAGACAGCAAGTAGCAAAGGCAGAGCTGAGATGGGAACTAGGGTAGCTCAACTTAGAGTCTGTGTTCTAAAACTACCCTTTGTCACCTTTTTGAGCAGAGGTATGTAGAAGTACCATGGCAACCGTGGCTCTTGGGTAGGGAGGGGCTGTCAAAGGAGGTAGAGTTTGAATGCGGCTAAGAAGAACAAGCAAAATTTTCCAGAAAGAGAAGGTGGGAAAGGTGTTCCAGGGAGCGGTCACAGCACATGCAAACCCAGGAGCTTGAGGTCAGCATGGCTGGCTCACAGAGGGTGAGGGGCAAGGCCAAAGCTAAGGGCAGGGCTAGGCAGGGGAGGGACCCTGAGCTGGACTGTGGAGGGCTCTAGTGCCCTTGGCCTTCATTTTGGGTGGGCTCAGTGTCAGCTCAGGACACAGATGTGGAGTTCAGTAAAGGGAGATTTCTTAATTTAGTACCAGACAGTTGTTTCCCGTAGCTCACCAATATTTGGTGAGCAAACTTAAAGAGACCCTCAGGCTATTATTATCCCAAATGTGGGTGTAGAAGTGACCTTCCCTCTGTGGTCGGCCCAGCCCTTTCCAGAAGCCAGGATTCTGAGAAAAAGCCATGTGAACCAGAGTCAAGGACCCTGACCTTCAACCAAGGTTGCCTGGGTTGAAGACTTTGACAAGAGGCCCTCGGTCCGTCTGGGCCTCAGTTTCCTTATCTCTCAAAAGAGTCTCCTAGAATGGAAGTTCTACAGAAATTCGGAAGCAGAACAATTCAGTGGTTCAGAGCAGGGGCTGTAGGGCCAAGCTACCAGGACATGTCATGGCTCCACTAGCTGTGGGCCTTTAGGAAATCCCTGTCTCTGAACATCGGTTTCCTTACCTGTAAAACAGGCTACTGAGAACACCTGCTATAAGGCTATAAATGTTAAGAGTGGTGAGTGGCGCCCATGCACAGCACCTACTAGACATTAGATGTGATGATTATCATAAGGCTCTGTCTTCTTTGGCCACCCTTGTGACCCCTAGTGCCTAGCAGGGGGCCTGGCATGGAAGTATTAATGATAAATAAATTAATTAATGTTGGGTGAAGAATGAGTGAATGAAATAGCCTGGAATACCAGAGCAGGATGGGGGCTTGGAGGTCACTGACCCTAGTCTCCCATTGAAGACTGAGACTCAGGTGGGGGAAGGGCTTTATTCAGGGTCTCACAGGGTGCCTGTGGCAGAGGGGCGTTGTATGGCAGAGAGGATGAAGAAGAACATGTATGACCCTGCACAGAAAAAGCTCTGTTAAAGTGGAAATTCTGGACACAGAAAGGTTTCTTTTTTTTCTTTTCTGCTTTCCAGTCAAGCCTCTTGACAGCTCTCCACTCAGGCCTAGATAACGGCTCTGAGCTCCTCACGCACACTCTCTACTTCCCTCCTTGCCCTTGCGGCTCCTTCCACTTGAAACGCTTGCCTTCCCCCACACTGCAGCCTACTCAGGGCTCTAGCCGCCCTCTCTAGCTGACTCCCAAGGAGCTGGACTCTTTCCCAGGGCTGGCGCTGCAGAGCGGGAGCCCCAGGGTGGGAGCTGATGGGAAGGCGAGAGAGGGAAGGAGGGTGCTCGTTGAGGCTCTTCTTCTCTGAGAAGCTTTCCATGATGCTAGGCTGAGGCATGGGTTCCTTCGGTCCCTGTGCTTCCCTCCTCACACAAGTGATACATTGTAGTGTTTTTATTTGCCTTTGTCCTCCGTCCCAGACTGGGAGCTCCCTGGAGGCAATACTGAGTCCCCCAAGAGGGCCTGACACAGAGTCTGCAGCACTAAGGGTTTGTTGGGTGGTGGACTGCTGAAAGGATGGATGGATGATGGATAGACGGATAGATGGAAGAGTGGATGGATGGATGGGTAGATAGATGGGTGAATGGATGGATGGGTAGATAGATGGGTGGATGGATGGATGGGTAGATAGATGGGTGGACGGATGGATGGGTAGATAGATGGGTGGACGGATGGATGGGTAGATAGATGGGTGGATGGATGGATGGGTAGATAGATGGGTGGATGGGAGAGGGAAGGAATGAAACTCAGGTTGCTCTCCAAGGGACAGGCATCTATCTGTCCAGTAGGCCCTCAACAAAATCTCACCGGGCTAAACATGGGCTTCACTACTCCTGTGTAAAATTCTTTCATTTTTAATTTGTTCATTCACTCATTTATTCTTTCATTAATGTCTTGGCTTCTTGTGAGGATTCAATAAATGCATGAATACACACAAAGCACTCAGAACAGTGTCTGGCACACCAAAAGTGGTATGTGGTACCATAAACATTTCCTGGAGACTTGCTACGTGCCAGGCCCTGATGGGGCTTGTGTTGTGATTCACCCCACCTCAAAAACACAGTGACATACTAGCAGGCCCTCTCTAAGAGATGCCCAGAGGGTTTCATCCCTCCGCCCCAGGACACCCCCACTCCCCAGGACTGCCAGAAGGACCCACCCAGGCTGGGACGGAGGGAGTGGGGAGGACCAGCAAGTGCCCATCCTGACCAAGGGGCCTGGAGATGGGCCCTGGTGTGCAGTAACACGGCTCCTCGAGTCCGTCTCCAACCCAGCCCTTTCTGCTCTTACCGGGGCTGGCACGATCGTAGTGGTATGGCTCCGAGATGAAGTGTGGGAGACTCATGAGCAGGCCTGCCAGGGCCACAAGGGCAGCCCCACAGCCGATCAGTCGGGGCCGGTGGACCCGGCTGCCAAAGTAGCTCACAAACACAATCAGGGCTGTGTTCCCCACCTGCCAAAGGAGGAGATGACCCATTTGAATGGAGCAGAGCCGCTAGAGGCCACCACCACCCTCACTTCTGTCACCAGTCTGGTGTTCCATCCAAGTAAAGGACTCGCCGGCTGGATGAGAATCATCTGGGCCCCTCTTATGCAGATTTTGGGTCCTCTTAAGAGGGTCCCCACTGTCCCATTAGGGGAGAGAAATGAGGGCAGAGTGGACAAGGCTAGCAGTTCAATTTCATTCTGGAAAATGGGTTGGACCCCATGTTAGAATATGGAGGAGGGTGGATAGTTAAGGAAAGGGTTGTTCAGTTTCTGGGATATCACAATTGAGGCAAACAAATAAAATTTAAAGCCAGGGGACTAAGAATTTCTTGGAATTTCAAGCTTTAGAATAAAACACTTAGGATGTGGGCACTGGAGGACACTTAAGAGCTTGCAGAGATAGGGCAGGCTCTGTGTGCCCACTGCTTCTGGGCTGTGATACTCGCCCTGGAGCCCCAGGCTCCTTGCTGCTGCGGGGGGGTGGGGGAGGAGGGGTTGAGCAGTATCTGCAAGAGAGTTGGTAGGAAGACCAAGTCTGAGAAGGATAGCTACTCTCTGTTTTATAGATGGGACACTGAGACTCTGGGGGTGGGGCGGGGAGTGACTTCCCTAAGGCCCCAGAGCTATAGGTAATGACGTTTCCTTCCCACCTCTGACATCTGGAGGCGGGGTCTGAGAAATGTCTAGGGGTGCTATGTAGTCGGCAGGCCTTGTGTTGAGTGTGACACATCACCCCGGGGGGAGGCAGCAGCACAGAAATCTGCTGTGGGGAGGGGAGAAAGGGTACTCTGGACAGTGCCCCTTCTCTGAGGCAGAAAACATCTGGTGGACGGGGGGCTGGGGCACAGCTGGACCTTGATCTCCAAATCCCCCCAGAGCAGCTTGTCCACTCCTCGCCGCTTGGCTGTTGGCCCCAGACATGGATTCTGGCAACTCTGAGGGACACTCGTGCCATGGTGTTTCTCCCCCCACCCGGGTCCCACAGTTCTGCCTTTGATCTAATTTAAATCTCTCCGGCTACTATTGAAGTGACTTCCTCTGATTCCTTCCGGGGATAGGCAACAGCCAGCCCCCTGGAAAGGTAAAGGAACGAAAGAAGAGTGGGTGGACATGGGAGTTCTGACTCAAATACCCCCCACCCCCCATCAGAGTGCCCCCATGGACAGAACTGCCAGTGCTCTGACATTACAGGGAGGCCAGAGGTCAGTTTCTCTAGCAGAACATGAGGAAGGAGCTGGCTAAGGAGAAAATCTTAGGGGAGGAAGCTGTAATGGGGTCGCCTGTGGGCACCAGGGGGGGAAGGGCCTATGTCAGGGCAGTGAGAGAGGAGAATGAGGAGGCCGGGAGAGAGTCGCCCTCAACTCCCACCCCTGTGGCCGCTCCAGGACCAGTACCTCGTTGAAGGCAGCCAGCAGCCCTGAGGTCTGACTGGAGAGGCCGAAGCGCTTCTCCACTGTGGAGATGGAGCTCTTGAGGTAGCCAGAGATCATGAGCTGTGCCAGCTGCAGGAGGCTGTGGCACAGGATGAAGAACTGCCGGAGGGGCCAAGGCGAGGGCAGCCGGTGGGGGCGCAGGGAGATAATGGGGATGCAGTCAGAGGGGGTGGTGGTTGGGAGACAGAAACCGAGTTGGGGGAAGGGAGGGGCAAGGAATAAAGATGGGGAAATAGAGTCAGAGGAGATAGACACACAGGAGAGAGAGAGTAAGGGAGGGTGAGTCAAGAGCAAGAGCAGGGAGAGAAAGAGAGAGAGAGAGAGAGAGAGAGATTTATTGGAGTAGCCCATGGCTTCTCACACAAGCCTAAAATCTACACAAGTTGTTCTGCGTGCTACCTCAGAACCAGGTGACTGAGAGTAGGGTCTTCATAGGGCCAAGGGTGATGGGAGTCACTCTGACCCGCAGAGCCTGACTTGGCTGGACTGGACCTTCCTCCCTGTTCCACCACGCTGCCCCTTTCTCCGGGAAGCTCTCCCAGATCCTTCCCTACCCACCCCACCCAATCCTCCCCTCTGGGAGACCACTTGCACACACCAAATCCCCAAATTACCCAACCCACCCAACCCCACCCCAAACGTCTGGCCTCCCTCCTGGTGAACTGGCAGAATTCCCAGGAGAAGAAAAGCTTGCTTCAAAGAAGGGTGCTTATGCCAGAGCTTAAAAACATTCACTCTGTTTCTGAGTCTTGGTTTCCTCTTGCCCATAGCAAGGACGACATTCCTGCCGCTCAGGGTTACTGTGAGGACTAAACAAGATGGCACTTGGCACAGGCCCTGGCACCAGGCGATACTTGCATGTTTAGGGCTGCCCTTGGTGGAGCCAGAGCTCCCCCACATTCACACAGATTTGGGATCCCTGGGGTCCTTCTCTTTCCTTGCAGGGAAATGGGGAGGCAAGGAGACTGGTCCCCTGCTGCCCACAGAGCAGCCCTTTTTTCTTCTCTGGAAGGAGGAAACATGTGCCCAAAACCAAGCTAAATGCTTTAGTAGATTGTCCCTTTGATTCTCACAGCCACCCATTCTTCAGGTGAGGAAACTGAGAAAGGCAGCAGCTTGCTTGGAGTTACACAGCCTTCTCTTCCAGGTCCGGACGCCCCTGCTCCTGGCAGGCCCTGAGAGATACCTTGATGCTATAGAACACACTTCTTCGCAAGTCCTGAGGGTTTGGGCTGGCCTTGCCTCTGAGTGTGTCTTCTGTGTTCATCATGGCCTTGGTGTCCTTTTCTGGCATCTGGGGCTCCTCACCCATTGGCCCTGTGGGACAGACATCCAGGAGGTGAGGGTGGAGATGGGATCCCAGAGGATGTCCCTGACCCAGTCGCCCAAGGTATTCCAGGCCTTGGTAAGAATCAAAGAGTCTGAGCACCTTCAGCCTCCCTGAGTCCCAGTGGTGGTGGTGGTGGTGGGGCCCTTCCTAAGAGGGTATGTGTCCCATGTGCCCATGCTGGCCAGGTCCTAATGGGAATCACCTATCTCACACCTTCATTCCATCCCCAGCATAAACCTTCCTTCTAGGGAGACATCGCTGGCCACACTACCTGAGTTTCAAGCAGGGACCCCAGCAGTAAGAATGTGCAGCCTTAGACTACCCCTTGGGCTGCTGAGAGGTGCCAGTGCTCGTAGAGGCTGAGTCTGGCTGTGGGTCTCTCTGGCTCAGTGTGGGATCACAGGTTTGGGATCAGGTGCAGAGTCAAGGCTTGGTCCATGGTCAGGGCATAAAGGCTTTTCCTGGGAGGAGTTCAGAACAATTACCAACACCCCCATGGAGCACCGTCCTGACATGTAAGCATAGAGCTTAACTAGCCCAGTCTCTAACTCATGCATCAAACCACGTTGCTGGTTGGCGTGGAAAGGGCCCTCAGAGGTCATCGCATTTAACCACTCCCTCATCCTGGACAAACTGAACTCCCCAAGAGTCGTGATGACTCAGGAAGCAGAGCTATGGTTAGAACCTGGACTCTTGGCCCCATCAGACATGTCTGAGTTTCTCCATGGAAACCATGGTAACTATGTCAGCATCTTACTTACTGCAGTGGAAGGAAAGCTGAACCTCCACAGGGGTCTCCTGACGTTCTTTTTTGTTTTGTTTTTTTAATTTTTTTAAATGTTTATTCATTTTTGAGAGAGAGAGAGACAGAGTGCAAGCAGAGGAGGGACAGAGAGAGAGAGGGAGACACAGAATCTGAAGCAGGTTCCAGCTTCTGAGGTGTCAGCACAGAGTCTGACGAGGGGCTTGAACCCACAAACCATGAGATCATGACCTGAGCCAAAGTTGGAAGCTTAACTGACTGAGCCATTCAGGCACCCCCCCTGATATTTACTCTCGATGAGGAACTCGAAGTCCAGCCTTGGGAGACTCCACCCCTCCACCTACATGTAGATCCCCACCTCCTTGGCCTTCATCCCTAACTGGGGCCCTACTTCCTGCGGAAGCCTCCTCCATTGTTTCATATGTTTTTCAACCGAGCAGGAGTTTCCCCTCATTCAACAAGTTCCTTCTGGAGCCTGGAAATGGACTCAGGACCCAGGTAGGGGGTTAGGGACTCTCCATCTCCAAACGCAGAAGGCAGACTCAGGGAGGGGCTACAGAGGCCTGGAACCACCATAGACAAGGGTTTGTGCTCCTCACACAAGGTACCTGCAGGACTGAGGAATTTCTTTCCAACTGGGATATAACTCATATACCATAAACCCCGCCCTTTTAAAGTACACAGTTCAGTGCTTTTTGGTATATTCAAAGAGCTATACATCATCCCCACTAATTCCAGAGCATTTCCATCATCCCAGGAAGGAACCCTATACCTGTTAGCAGTCCTCCCTCCCCCCAGCTCCTGGCAACTACTAATCTATTTTCGGGCTCTCTGGATTTGCCTATTCTGGATATTTCATATAAAATCATATAAATAAAATAGTAGAATATGTCATTTTTTGTGCCTCGTTGATTTCACGTAGCATGATGTTTAAAGTACCTCCATATTACCAAGGGGGAGACGAAGGGGGAAAATAGTGGGGGAGAGGGAGGGAGGCAAACCATGAGAGACTCTTGAATGCTGAGGACAAACTGAGGGCTGATGAGGGGGGAGGGGAAGGGAGGTGATGGGCATGGAAGAGGGCACTTGTGGGAATGAGCACTGGGTATTATATGGAAACCAACTTGACAATAAACTACTCAAAAAATAAAAATTAAAAATGGCAGAAAATAAAAAAAGAAATTCAGATTCTACACACACACACACACACACACACACACAAAATAAAGTACCTCCGTACTGTAGCATGCATCAGTACCTCCTTTCTTTTTATGAATGCAACAGTCCGTTGTGTGGACATAAATCACATTTTGTTTATCCATTCACCTGTTGAAGGACATCTGGATTGTTTCAGGTGTTGTGAACATTCATATACCGTACACATTTTTGTGTCGACATATGTTCTCAGTTCCCCTGGGTATATGGCCAGGAGCAGAATTCTTGGGTCATGTGGCAATTCCACTCAACTTTTTAAGAAACTACCAAACTGTTTTCCGAAGTGGCTGTGCTGTTTTATACTCCCGCTCACAGCATATGATGGTTCTAATTTCTCTACATCCTTGCTAATACTTATTATCGTGTCTCTTTCATGATAGCCATCTTAGTGGGTGGGTGATATCTCATGTGGTTTTGACTAGCATTTCCCTAATGACCAATGATGTTAAGCGTCTTTTCACGTACTTCTTGGCCATTTGTATATCTTCTTTGGAGAAATGTCTATTCAGATAGCATGAAGAATTTGAGAAAATGGAAATGTGTGTGGCTGGGGAGGAGTCCCTTTGGGGGGCATAAGTATTCAGAGGAAACAAGGAGATATTGAAACAAAAGCGACACCAGACATGGAAGAGATAAAGGGTTGGCCCAGTGAAGTAGGGGTGGGATAGGCTCTGTGGAAGTCACTTAGGAGAAAAGGAGGGAAGGGGGTTCCAAGCAAACTCTCCCAGAGGAGGTTGACAGGACTGTTTGCAAGCACTGGTTCTGCTCACCAGCACAGACGATCACCTACTACAGCATAGATTCTGGGCTACACGCTTTACATGCAACTCAGCCTTCACATGTGCACGAAGCTTCTCCACAGCTCTGTGCCTTTGGTGCTCTCATTATCTCTGTATCGGATGAGGACAGAAGCTCAGAGGTAACTATCTCTGCTGGTTAATGTTGGTGCATAGTCTCAAGCCTAGGAGTTAACCTCTACATAACTCCGTGTTCCTTGCACAGGATGATGAGGGGAAGATGCTCTTCTCTGTCTCAGCCCAACCAAACCTAACCAGGCCACCTGAAAGGGGCCAGTACCCACCTACCAAGGGACCAGGCCAACCAAACGATGAAGCTGGAGCTGAGTCTGGGAGGGGAGAAGTCAGTGACCAGGAGGTCCAGCTCTGAAAGAAGTCCAGGATATGGATGAGGGAGGGGGACAGAAGATCAGTGGACTAGCTTAGAACATTCCACCTTCCCGTGGCCTAGTAGAGGGAAGCCGTGGCCCCTGTGATCTGAAAGCAGCCACCAGTTCGTGCACTGCGTGGTCAGCTGATCACTGAACATTGAACAGGACAGGTCAGGCAGGTAGCCAGGCCTCTCCAAGCTCTTCCTGTGGGCTGAGACCTCTGAGTGGGCTGGCAGCAAACAGTCTGACTGTGAATAAGGACAAAGCTCCCCTTAACACGAGGATCCTAAGACCAGGAAAGTACGTTCTCCTCATGTGACATCTCTGAAGGCCTTCCCATCCTGTGAAGACTTTGTCAGGGGTCATCCCTGACAGGAGAGGGCGCAGCTGTGGGGGTGAACCTAGGCTGGGCCTGGGTAGCCTGTGGGTATGAAGGGAGAGGCAGGGAGTCAGGCCCCAGGAAAAAATCCAAGCCTGTTTCTCTCCTAGGTGGGCAATCAGGTTTGGGGTCTCCAGGTAGGTCAGGTGGTTGGAGGCCATGTCCCCAGAGCTGCCAGGCAAAGAGTTTGTGTGCCTGTCAGTTGGTTACATGGCTGGCCACACACACAGGCCCATTCATGTCCATCAGCTGGTAAGTCACTGGTCTGGCTGACTCTCAGGAGACTTGTCTGGTGGAGACCTTCAGTTCGTTCAGAAACTCGGAATGTCTGCAAGGTGGAGGCAGAGGCTCTGGGCTCTAGCCTGGGGTCTAGCTGCCTGCCTCCATGCAAGAGTCAGCCTTCTTCAAACCAGCTGGATCCATGGTGATGGAGACCAAGGTTTCAGAGAGTAGCCTGACAGGGAGCACTACTTTTCTCTGTCTGTTCTTTTCTGGAAAGGCTCAAAGTCCTGTCTCCTCCAGCTACCTCCCAGCAGCAAAAAGAAAATTCCAGGTGGATGTGGGGCTGAGTATAGATTTCTTTTCTATTTTTTTCTTCCCTGAGTATAGGTTTCAAAGTCCTCAGACCTGGGCCTGAACCCTAGCTCCACCACTGGCAGCTGTGTGAGCCTGGACATGCCCTTTCATCTTTCTGAGCTGTTTTCTCATCTGAGGTGAGGCATCTGGGGGGTTGGCCCAGGCCTGGGACACAGTGGGAGGATGGTTGCCCACCCCTCTCCTGATAACCTTCAAGTGCTTCCAAGGCCACAAGGTTATACTGAACCCACTCCCTTCCATGTGCACCCGACCCCTCCAAGTTAACACCTCTTTCTTCCATCCCTAGATTGTCTCTCCCTTTCACCCAAGCCCCAATTTACCACAAGACCTGAGGACCTGGACCCCTTCCACGTACACTCACTGGCTTTAGAAACAATTGCTCAGGTTTCAACCCCCACTGGCTGCAATCCTATTTTGTAGCCTTAGACCAGTGGCCCCTGTGCTTCCTCATCTGTGACACAGGGACTGTAATCCCTATGTCCCAGTACAGAAAGCACCCACCGAGAATCAGATCCTTCCACCTCATGTTTAGCCTGGACACTGAAGGCCTGAAACCACATCTTACGGTGGACGTTAACCTGACCTTGCGATTCCACTGTCTTCATTAGCATTTTTTCTTCTTACTCTGCCCAGACTGACCAGCTCAAGCAAATGGCTTGATTGTTCATTACAGGAACTTCCTGAAAGCCTACTCAACTCTTCAAGGGAAACCATCAACAGAGTGTGTGCCTCTGATTCTTTGAATCTCTGTTCCCAAAATCCTTACCTTGCTGTTTCCACCAGCTAACTGTTGTATCATGATTCCTACCCAATCCCAGTCAAGCCTTCGTCCTCCACCTCCCTACCCACACTGAAGGACCTGCCT